TGGTTGTAACTCAAGAGGCTCAGACTCCTCGACACAGGCTTCAAAGTGTCTCTCCTATATAATTTTAGGCCACTTTCTTCCAGGTGGATCTCAGTGTCTCAGAGAAACACTGGCCCAGGATTTCTCAATGAACCCCCCACAGGAAAGGATGCTGTCATGTTCCTTCCAGAACTCTTTAAGGGTTAAATCTGTATCTGAGACCATCTGGAAGGACAAGTGGCCGGCATTCGGGTTGTAACTCAAGACTTTGGTCATAAACTAAAACTAAAATTCCATTCGTAACCTGAGTTGTTCGAATGTCAGGCCAGCAGTAACTCAAGGGTCCAGTGTATTTAAAAAAAACTCAACAGAATCTGACAAGGGAGTGAATTAGAATTGGTGAGAGAGAGAAAGACCCACCCCAGAAGCTGTCTGTCTGTTCTGTCAGTGCGGCCCCTTGAGAAGGCCCATCTTTCACCTTTAAATTTCTCCTCTGGCCAGCGATTTAGCTCAGCGGTTCTGCTGCCTGCCTCAAAAACGCAAGGACCTGAGTTCGATCCCTGATACCAAACAAACAAACATTTTAGGGGCCAGGGATTTAGCTCAGTGGTTCCAGCGCCTCCCTCCTCCCTCGCAAGCGTGAGGTGCTGAGTTCGATCCCCGGTACCAAAAAACAAAACAAAACAAAAAAACCTTCTCCTTGAAGTCTCTCAGACGTCACTGTGCAAGAAGCCCTGCAGGGGCTCAGTGGGGTGTGTTGTTAAGTGAGGGGTCTTACAGTGCCAACACAGAGGGGCCTCTGCAGAAGGAAGGCAGAGAAAAGCCAGAGGCTGACATTTGTGTCCATCCATCCGGATGTGCTCATGACAAGTGTAAGTTCTGAGAGTAAAAATGCAAGCTGAATTCCATCTGATCACATAACATACAAAACTGTTTTCATAGCTGAGATAGGGGGGTCAGGCTTCCTGCTGTGTGTGTGTGTGTGTGTGTGTGTGTGTGTGTGTGTGTGTGTGTTGGGGTTGGTGGGGGTTGAGACAAGGTTTTGCTAAGTAGCCCAGGCTGGCCTCGAACTCACTGAGATCCTCCTGCCTCAGCCTCCCAAGTCCTGGGCTCGCAGGTGTGCGCCACCACATCCAGCTCTGCTATTTTTATATGTAATTTCAGAGAATGTTCCCCAAGGACCTTGTCGGTCTAGGAAATTTGACAGTAATTCAGGGATGCGAAGATGTGTTAGATGCAGCAGGTGTCCTCCCCTCTCCTTGGTCTTTCTCTTACTCCATCCAAGTGGGAAAAAAAATGTTTTTTGAGCTGGGGTCTAACTGTCCAGGTTGGCTTCACACTCATGATCCTCCTGCCTCAGCCTCCTTGAGGGGCTGGGGCTACACTACACACCGTTGCACCTGGCTCTGAGGAAACGTCTCGGTTCTTCGCAGCACCTCCTCAGCGAGCTGTCTCACATTCTCCTCTGTTGCTTCCAAGGCAGAATCAGACAATCCGCAGAGCTCTTTACCACTCATCTTTGTCTTTAGTGAGCACCTACTACGTGCCAGGTGCCATGGCCAGGCTGGGGGTACACAGTGGGCCCCCCCCCCGCACACATCACTCTCTACCCTCTTGGGACCTGTTTGTTGTATTATGCTTCAGTTTTTGTGTGTGTGATGCTTCAAGTTTTGTTCCCTTTCTCATGCTTTTTTGGTCCCTGCAGTGATTTCAGTTCTCTCTGCAAACTTCTGATGACTTTTCCCACGCAGAATCCCTTTGACTTCTGTTCCAGATGTGCATTCCATGTCTCTGGACACTTCGCAGCTGTTTTGCCATTCGGGCACTGGGCCTCGTCTGCTTTCACAGACGGTCGCCTGGTTACGCAGGGCACAGGTGACTCTCTGGTGCCTGTTCCGTGCTGAGCCACGGCAGGGGTTGTCCTGGATGTGTGTGCGGGGATCAGGCGGACACAGCCTCCCTGAGCTCGCAGCCTGCAGTCTGAGGCGACACAGACAGAAGCTCCGGGCCCTCAGGGGAGACTAGCGTTCATTTCGCCATTAGCCCCTTACCTTATTTCCACCCCATCTTTCAACCAGTCTCACATCCAAGAGCTGTGTGTTTCGGGTTCCCCACAGGTGCGAGTTCCTCTAGGTTCCCACCTGCCCTGTTCAGGTTTCATGAAACAGGAGTCAGACTGTTTCTTGAGTGTGTGTGTTTCTTTTTTATTTAATGTTCACAGCTTTTCAACTACCCTGCTTCCTGCTTCCCAAAGGGATATTTTCATTGATAAATGTTTAGTTACTAAGACCTGAAGACCTAATTCCAGACCCAGATGGCGGCTGCAGACAAAGGGGAGCATGCATTTTCCTCTTCGTGCCTCCAGTCATGTGAGGCAGAGGGCACCAGAACTGGTTGTTCTCCTCCAGGAAGCAGGCAGTGGCAGTCCTGCGGCACCAGCAGAGGTGGTGGGGACCATGTGTGACATTTCGTGACTGAAAGCTGCAGAGGTGGGGGAGCCCGATGCCTTGGGGCGTGCTGTTGAGACTGGGCCCCGTGACCCCACTGTCTATCTGGGGGAACTGGTTCAAAGGGGAAAGGCGTTTATCTGCTGTGGTTGGAAGCAGAAGGGCCCATGTGTTCAGCAATCTGTGAGAACAGGCCAGAGTTCAAGCCTGATTGCTTCACTCTGCATATGGATCTTATCTTGTTTGGCTCGATGGCTAGATCATTTATTTCTCCAAATAAATCTCAGTTATTCTTTAAAAGGAGAAAGAAAGCTGAAAAGTCCAGTGGTAAGATTTCAGAAGTCTCCATCTCCCAAAGGTAACAACAAGGAGACTGGCATTGTTGCATTAGATGCTCCGGCTGGGGGAAAGAACATTTGTGGGTGTTGGAGGCCACTATGATGCTGAGGACACAGAAGTGATAAGAAAGGAGGTGGCCTAGGGTGGGGGATTTAGCTCAGTGGTGCCTCGGCTGCCTCGAAGGCGCAAGGTCCTGAGTTCCATCCCCAGTGCTAAAAAAAACCCAGAAAGCAAAACAAAACAAAAGAAAGGAGGTGGCCACGACGCTGGCTGTTCAGGGGCGAACTTTATGGCCAGTATCGTGAGTTAATAACTGTGGCTTTGAACTTTCTGTACTTAACTAATTCAAGTCATGTTTATTACCCCATGATTGTGTTTACTCTTCGCAGTCTTCCTTCAGATATAATGCAGAATAACAGGGCAGAAGGCCTGGAGTGTAGCTCAGTGATAGATGTGTGCTTAGCTTGTGCCTGGCCCTGTGTTCAAGCCCCAGCAACTCCCTGCACCCAAGGGAGACAGGAATACATGGATTCTCAGCTTGATTTTGCTAATAGATGATAGAGAAAGTCTTCTGGAGCCTATAGAAGGTTAATGATTCTCCATTATTTTTGCCCGTGTGTTGTTGGTGCCTATGATAATTTGCCAGAATTCCAAACAGGTGATGTGAGTTTCACAGAAATGTATGAATTCATCCCATTTTCCATTTCTTGGGGAAGCCGCATGCCCCTTCATATTTGCACTCGAAGCTGGGGTTTACATTAAGCAAACCTGAGCTGTAACTGTCCTCACACAGATGTGTTCAGGAGGTGAACATTTGCTGTGGAAAGCGTGCTTCACTCCACCAGAGTCACTGGCACACTGTGGTCATGACAGGCCCAGAGCTGCCTCCCGTTAAGCCCGAACCCAGGGCCACATGGGCCTTCTCTGATCCTCTCTGTGAGGAGAGTGGCAGCTTTCCCCAGGGCTAGATGGGAAAACAGTCCAGAAGCTCAGTGTCACTTGGTCAGCCTCCCTGGAGGACTGGTGAGCCAGTGAGCTCAGGAGGTGACAGGAAGCAGGGCTGTAGGAAGGCAGCAATGGAAAGGGCAGTCCCTGAAGGTGGGCCTAGGCAGAGGGCCGAGGGGAAACTGACATGGTGGTACTCAGTGCCACTGGATCCCCACAGGGTGGAGGCCTGGTGACCAGCCACAATCAAATGTGGATGAGTTCTGAAGGGCTGGAACACTGCTCTGAGGAGACAGTCTTGTCTGGGCTTCACAGGCAGTGGTTTGAGGTGGTGGGGCAGGAGAATGGTGCAGGCCAACCCAGGAAGGTCCACCATTTCGTCCTTGTACTCATATGGCACATGTTCTCTCATGGGCGCAAGTGGGCCTTCAAGGTGAAGGTGATACGCAACATGCTGGCCGACTGCTTGGGTCTCCCCTCTCTGGGCCTCTCAGCCTGACCCCATCAGCCTGCCCGTCATCTCTGGGATGTTCCAGCATCCCTAGTGCCTTTTGTTTTCGTTTCTCTGGAACATTCTGCCACAGAACTCCTACACGGCTCCCTGAGGCCCTCATTCCCTGAGTCTCTTCTAACCCCCAGTCAGCAGGGCCTCCCATAAAAAATTACTCATCATTCCTGCCTGCATCGTGTCATCACCACCAGAGACGCCATCTTATATTGACTCCTTTGTTCCCCATTTGTGCCCCCAACTAGAATTGACACACCATGATCTCAGGGACTCTGTTTTTGTGCATGACTGTAGCTCAGCACCTCAAATACTGTGGGTTGAGCTCACAGTCAGGGAAACGAGTGGTTTCTGGGTGCATTGGCCCCTTATATATTTTGTGGCTTAAAGATTTTTCATTTTCTGCCAGGCATGATGGTGCACACTTGTAATCACAGCACTCTGGGAGGCTGAAGCAGGAGGCTTCCAAGCTTGAACCCAGCCTGGGAAACTCAGTGAGACCCTGTCTCAAAGTAAAAAAATTTTAAAAGGTCCAGGGATGTAGCTCCTTGCAAAGGACCTGGGTTCAATCCCTAGTACTGAAAAAAAAAAAAAAAAGAAAGAAAGAAAAACACTTCATTTTTCTAGTGCATTTCCCAAGAGTTGTGTGTAGAAAAGATGGTCAACAATATTACCCTTTAGACTCTGAATTCAGGCGTATCTTCCACAATAAATGATGTTTCCATTGAAGAACAAAAACACACGCCCTTACCTGTCAGCTTCACCCGACTTCCTTTCTCCCGCAGGTTGGAGCTCAGTGGCGAGACTGGCTCCACCCCACCCAACATGGTGGACATGGAAAGCCCCAGGTATCCCCTGTCCCCCTTGGAGGCCGAGGACCTGGAGAGCCCACTGTCCAAGGACTTCCTACAAGAAATGGGAACTATCCAGGACATCTCCCAGTCCCTCGGCGAGGACAGCTCCGGGAGCTTTGGTTTCACAGAATACCAGTATTTAGGGAGCGGCCCTGGCTCAGAGGGATCTGTCATCACGGGTGAGTGTGCCGCTTCCCGGAAAGGTCCTCTGGAAGCGTTTTCCTCGGGGGAACTATGAAGCCACACATTTTTGCAAAGGAATCTTGACATGAAAGCATCGTGGCCGGTGCTGTAGGACCCAGTCTCGTGTCTTGTGGGGTTCCTTCCCCTAAATGTCATGTGCAGGACAGATGATGCCTAAAGCTCAGTGGAGGCAGGCAGCTGGGTTTTGTTTTTGTTTTTGAGACAGGATCTCGCTATGCAGTTCAGGCTGGCCTTGAACTCGTAGTGATCCTCCTGCCTCAGCCTCCTGAGTGCTGGGATTATAGGCATATGCCACCACGCCTGGCTGGCAGCCGTGATTTTTAAATACTTCAAATGTGTATTTCTTCAATACAGAGACTCCCAGTGTCACAGAATGATTCCTTTTTTGATCTGGAAATTCATATTAACCATCTCCTTGCTTTCTACATCACATTAAGAACCACAACATGAAGCCAGGTGTCAATAATAAGGAAACAGCTCAGTGAAAAAGTGGACAAGCTGGGCTTGGTGGTGCAGGCCTATAATCCCAGCCCTTGGGAAGCTGAGGCAGGAGGATCACCTTGAGATGAGGTCAGCCTGGGCTACACAGTGAGTTCAAGGCCAGTCTGAACTACATAGTGAGACCCTGTCTCAAACAAAACAAAACAAAAGTGGACAAAACATTTGAACAGAAACTTCACCAAAGAAAATACAGAGCAAATAATGACACAGCAAGAAGCCCAATATCACTAGTCGGCAGAGAAATGCAAGCTAAAACTCCCCCAATGGGACGCCACTGCACACCTGCTAGAATGGCTCAGGTGCCAAAGGCTGATTTCAGCTCCTGCTCCTGCAGGTGTGGATGAACCATGCACACTGCTGTTGGGAATGGCAGCCCTGGTACAGCACTTTGGAAAGGATTAAGAATTATTTATGTATTCTGCATACAAGTGCTTTAATCAGATGTTTTATAAATACTCTCTCCCAGTCTGTGGTTTGTCTTTTCTATTAACTGTGTCTTTCAGAAAGCTGTTCTTTAACCAGGCATGGTGGTACATGCCTGTAATCCCAGCACTGAGGGACTGAAGCAGAAGGGTTGCAAGTTCAAAACCAGACTCAGTTACATAGTTAGAACTTGTCTCAAAAAAAATTCTTAATTTTGGTGAAGTTCAGTTTATCAGTGTATTTTATTTTGTGGGTCCTATGTTTTGTGGCATGTCTAAGAAACCTTTGCCTTGTAATCCCAATACTCTGGGAGGCTGAGGCAGGATCCCCAAGTTCAGGTCCAGCCTTGGCACCTTAGTGAGACCTTGTTTCAAAAAGCTGGAGATGTAGCTCAGTGCAAAGGTCCTGGGCTCAATCTCCAGTGCCACAGAGAGAGGTGAAAGGAAGGGAGGGAGGAAGAAAGAAATCTTTGCCTAACCCCAGATCACATCTTCTATAAATTGTAGGTTTTATATTTAAGTCTGAGACCCATTGATTTGATTTTTGTATATAAATCAAAATTTCTTTTTTCATTTGCAATTATTCTGGTACAGTTTGTTTAAAAAATAGACAGCTGTTTCCACTAAAGTGTCTCTGTATCTTTGTCAAGCGCCAGCTGCACGTATTACAGCGGGCTTCTCATTCTACCCCGTTGAGCTCTTTGTTTCTTTGAACATCAGTGCTCCCACATCCTGATCACCACAGCTAGGTAAAAAGCCCGAGGTCACCTGAGATAAGTTCTCCTGCTTTACTCTTCATTCCCTGGGGTCTCGAGGCTAGCCTGGGTCCTTTCATTTCTGTACATATTTTAAAATCACTTTGTCAAGCTCTGCCGACGAAGCCTGCTGAGACTAGGACTGGGGCTGCGTTCCATCTACAGCCAGTGTGAGAAGTGACGTCTTCCCAGTATTGCCTCCTGATCCATGAACACAGCTTCTTCTCCATTTAGCTGGGTTGTCTCCTTTCCTCTTCACATGCGTTCCAGTTTCTAGTGCACGGGGGTTTCACATCAGGCCTCTGGCGGCCCTTCCACATTCCACCAGTGTTAACTTCCTCATCTCCTTTTCCTCTTCCTCCTCCTCCTCCCCTTCTTCCTTCTACTCCTTCTCTTTCTTCTCCTCTTTCTCCTCCTCTTCCTCCTTCTCCTCCTCGTCCTCCATCCCATTTCTCTCCGTCTTCATGTCAGAGAGTTTATATTGCTAGTTCTTCAAGTGTATTGATCTTTCCTTCTGCAGTGTCTGATCCACCTAGTGAGTTTTCCATATCTGGTACTGTATTTTCCATGAGTAGAATCGTGACTCAGTTCTTTGTTTACCTTCATCTCTGCCTAACATGTCCAGTCTTTCCTGGAGCATTTGAACATTTGGAACATGATCAGAGTAACTCCTTTTACTGCCTTGTCGCCAATTCTGTCATCTCTGTCATTTCTGGGTCCCTTTCAGTTCATTGATTCTTTTTCTCATCACAGGTCATATTTTTCTTTCTCTTTGGATGTCTTATAATTTTTTTATTGGCCGCCACAGACTGTGAAGTTTGTAGGGTGCTGGATAGTTCTGGGTCCCTGTAAACATCCCTGAGCTTTGTTCTGGGGTGCAGTTCAGTTCCTTAGGAAATGTTTGATCCTCTCGGGCCTCATTTTTAAACTCTATTAGTGGGCCCAAAGCAGGCTTTGTTTCTGTGGTAATTTTGCCTGCTGCTGAGCGCTGGGCCTGATGCCCCCGCAGGTTCTGCGTGTCTCCTGGAGGAGGTGGCACAGAACCCCATGAGTGCCGGATGTTGTTCTTTCTGGTTGCCATGGAGCATGGTGTCCTCTCGGCTCTCAGCTGGCAAGGCAAAGGCACCCATGCATGTGTGCTAACACGCACAAGTGTGTGCACCCACATCTGTGGATCTGTCCACGTGCAGCCATCTGCTCTGTGTTAAGCTAAACACGAGTTCACGCCAACAGCGTTGACCCTCCCACCCCTCCTCATCCTGTCTGTAACCCTGGCTCCAGCAGTGAAGAGCCTCCCCCTCCCCCAGTCACCTACTTGCTCTTGGTGCGAATCCTACATAGCAGCATCAGTTACTCATTGGGACGCAGGTGGAGTTTTATCCACCACGGTTAGGTGGTTTTGTTACCTTCTACCTTCCATCCTGGGGTCCTCCAGCCTCTCTATATCTGTTTTATTTGCATTCATCCAAGATCACTCTGGGGGATTTAGCTCAGTGGTACTGCACCTGCCTCAAAAGGGGAAGGTCCTGAGTTCGATCCCCAGTCGAAGATCACTCTGAGCTGTCACATTCCATAGGGTTTGATATGCATGGTGCCACAAGTCCACAGTTACATTCACATGAAGAGCAGCTCAGAAGAGTAGCTTCTCAGTGCAATGCCCCATCCCCAGCCCTATGCCAGCAACCCACCTTCCTGCCATCACTCCCTAGTCTTCGTGCCATTGCTCTAGGGTTGCCTCATCCAGAAGGCCACATGTTATGGGTTAGATCGAAAGGGTCCCTTGGAAGGTGACCGGAGCATGGGGGCACTGTACTCACTAGTGGGTTAATCTGCTGCTGATGGTGTCATGTCTAACCGTGCTGCTGGGAGTCAGGGCGTGGCCAGGACAGGCAGGTCACTGGGACATGGCCTGGAAGGGTGTGTCCCCTCCCTGGCTCCTCTCTTTGCTCGCTGCTTCCTGGCTGCCATAGGTTGAGTGTGGTTTCCTCCACCAGGCCCTTCCACTATGCATTTCACCTGGGAGCCCACCGATCATGGACTGAAGCATGAACAGAAAGTAACCTCTGCTCCTTTAAGTTTCGGGTGTTGGGTGTTGTGTCCAGCAATGGGAATGGGACTGAGGCACCGTTCACAAGGTGTGAGGCCTTTCGGTCTGGCTTCTTGCACATGACAGTATGTACTTAAGATGAATCTGTATCTTTCCAACGCTTGCTGCCTCTTTGCTTTTTACACTGAATGATGTTCCATTAAATGGCTATACCACAGTTTGTTGTCCAATTAAGAATAAAACTGCCACATATTCATTTGTGGGGTTTTGTATGGACATCAGTTTCCAGATCAGTTGGGTTTATACCCAGAAGTCCAGTGCCTCTCACACCCATGAGGCTATTTCACTTTGTAAGAAACTGCCAAGCTGTTCCCTGAGTGCCTCTCCTGGCCCATGTCCTGATAGTGGGCGAGAATCCTCTAGCTCTGTGTCCTTGCTAGCATTTGCTACTGTCAGATTTTTTTTAGAAAATGAGTCTAATAGGTGTGTAGTAGTACATCATTGTTGTTTGAATTCACAAGTCCCTGAGATGTGACATCAAGCATCATTCCACACACTCATTGCCAGCAGTCTTTCTTCTTCAGGAAAAGGCCTGTTCAGATCTTTTGCCCATTTTTAATTGAGCTGTTTGTTTCCTGTTTTAAGGCTTCTTTGTATATGTTGGATACAAGTCTTATTGAATGGGTTTTGCAAAATATTTTCTCCCAGTCTGTGGTTTGTCTTTTCATTTGCTTAACAGAAGTTAATAACTCATAAATTCCAACTGATCTGCCCCCTGAGGTGGGGGGAGAGATGATGCTTCAGGTGCTGCCTGTGTGGATTTCTCACTGTGTTTTGGTACCGTTCACTGGGTTAGCAGCTACAGATCTGGAAAGAAAGAAGGGAGGGAGGGAGGAGACAAACTAGTGTGTTGCATGTGGGGCGTGTAGAGCTGAGCGTGGGGCTCGAGGACCAGGTAGGATCCCATGAGACGCCACTGTGCTGAAATGGGTGTGGCTCAGGAGGCAGGAATGAGAGCACATGCGCTTTGAGGGGCCCAGCACCATATTATGGTCCTGGGGCACAGGAGGCCATGGCCCAGCATGGGGACACCAGCTGACTCAGGACAGGCACCTGTCCCCTGGCCTATACCACATCTGAACACCACCTGTGCTGACTCTGTCCTCAGAGACCTGATTAGTCACAGCCTGGATCTCCATGGAGATGTCCTCTCTTTCCCACAGACACCCTGTCACCAGCCTCGAGTCCCTGTTCTGTCAGTTACCCCACAGTCCCTGGCAGTGCAGAGGAGCCTTCGGGTGGCACCCTGAACATCGAGTGCAGGATCTGTGGGGACAAGGCCTCGGGATACCATTATGGGGTCCACGCGTGTGAAGGCTGCAAGGTACGGGGCCCTGGCAGAGGGTGTCGGGGTCTGCACCTTGGGTTCTGACTGCATAAAGGCATGAGTGAGCACTGACCCGGGGTCATGCTGACTCTCTTGAGGAGCCAGAGAGATTGTACTCTGTGCTTTGTAAATAGCTGAGCAGTGCCCTAAAGCAAAGCAGCGGTGGTAAGAGCGGCACCTTTGTTTCAATACAAGATAGAGAGCTCTGACCCTTGTCCCTCTGAGTGGTCACTGGCTCTGGGCAGAGCAGTTATTCCCTGTGCCAGGGAGGGGCTGGTGATCAGAGACATCAGCATTTTGCTTAGGGTCACACAGTGCCCGGTCCACGCTCTAACCGCTGCCCTTGACCTCCAGCCATCCCTTACTGTACACCACAGCCCCTCCCACAGCCACCTGGATCCTCTTGTGCATCCAAGCCCTATTGCTCAGCCAGGCCCTGGACAGGGACAAGCAGGGTCAGGAGGATGTGATAGAGGCCTGGTGATCCAGTGGCTGCCTGGATCCATGGCCCTTCCAGGAGGACCCCATTCTGCCACCCCCTACAGTTCTCCTAGGTAACGTGACCCTTAGGTTTGTCACTTCATGCACACAAGCATGGGAGCCCATTCTGATCAGAGGTCCCCTTCACTGAGCATGCTGGAGTGTTCACTGACTTTTAGAAACGCCTTACTTCATCTACATTCTCAGAGCGTGGGGTCTCTGCACCTGCCAGTCCTGGCCTCAGAGGCTGGGTCTCTGGAGACAGGGCCACAGAGCCCGGGTATCACACCCCTGGCATTCAGAGCTCTCTCTTCCATGCTTCTCTCCCTTCCTCCTTCACACACCAAGAAATGGCTGAGGCATCCCTACCACCCATGAGACCTGCCACATTGGACACCCAGAGGCATGACTTAACATGTGCATGATGCAACCAACATTCGTGTGTCTCACTGCCAGATGGCTCTGATTTGAATTCCATTATCCCACCAACTTGAACCACTGGTGGTATATGTGTGACTGTCTGAAAAAACTGGGCAGCACTGTGCCTACAAAAAAAGCCAAGCGCAGTATTATGTTTTGTGCTCTCTGCATAAATCAGCTACCTTTATGTATAAAATTTTTTTTTAAATTCACAAATATATGGCACACACCTGTAATCCCAGAACTCAGGAACCTGAGGCAGGAGGATCACCATGAGTTCAAGGACAGCCTGGGCTACATAGTAAGTTCAAGGCCAGTGTGAACTATATAGCGAGACCCTGTCTCAAAAAAAAAAATTCATAAATATAAATACATTTCTTTTAATTTAATGAAATAAATTTGTTGATTGTTGTAATAATTTTTAATTGGTATGAATAGTATTAATATTTATATTTGGGCAGTAATCAATGTAAGCAACTAAGTAGATTCATTCTACTTATAGACTTTTTATTAGTTTTATAAGTAAACAGACAGGTAAAAGTGATTAGATGTGTTTTTACAAGCAGGGGTCCAAGCCACCTGATAGGCCAGCATGTGCTGCTGTTGGTTCAAGCCGGTGGGAATCTGTTAAAAGCAAAGGCAAGAGAAAGACCCAAAGCCAAAATAAACTCCTTTCCAAATGTCCTACTCATGACCCTAAAAACAGCTGCTTGTAAAGTGGCCTTTTCTCTAGGGCCACAATTCAATCATTGTTTAGCTTTGGCTTTTTAGGGACTCCTTGGTAAAATTGTTTCTTAAGCAAGAGAATTGTTCACAAGTAGGTGGCTTCCTTCTTTCATTTTTTTTTTTTCTTTTAGAAAGTTAACCTTCTCTAGAAAAATTCCTAGAACATTCTGAGTCACACTCATGGTTCTGTCACCTGAGAGCAGAGGGGACAGCTACCTTCAAATCCACCAAGGCAGAGCTGTGTGATCTTGAAATCTGCCATTGTGTCCTCCCCAGTCAGACGGAACATTTTTAAATCACTTTGGATTCTGTCCTAGCTTCTTGGTTTTTTGTTTTATTTTATATATATATTTGTTTTTTTATCTTTAATGCAATGAAATTTAAAATTTCCTGTTTGTCCCAGTCATACGAGGCTTTTTAGAAGAACTGCCTCTCTCAATGTAGTAAAGTTAAAAAGAGACACCAAATGAAAGCTAAGGGAAGCCGGCGTGGTGGCAGACAGGCGGGAGTGGTCTTCACCCTGCCTCGTGTCCCCGCACAGGGCTTCTTCCGGCGGACCATCCGGCTGAAGCTGGCGTACGACACATGTGACCGCAGCTGCAAGATTCAGAAAAAGAATCGGAACAAGTGCCAGTACTGCCGTTTCCACAAGTGCCTCTCTGTGGGGATGTCGCACAATGGTAGGTAAGGGTGCCCGGCACAGCGTCCCACTCTGTGCCTTGGTTTACCTACCTTGCTCAGTTGGAATGGACTGCATGTGTTTTGAATGAACATGCTGTGACATTTAACATGCAGGTCACTTTGTAACCAGAGCAGACTAAGGAAAGAAATGTCTCTAATAGCGGGGTTTAGCAGAGCATGGGGGATAGTTGTTAGAAACTTCACGTGGTAGCTGGGCCTGTAATCCCAGCACTCTGGGAGGCTGAGGCAGGAGGATCACAAGCTTTAACACAGTCTAGCCAACTTAAACTTAGTGAGACTCTGTCTCAAAAAATACAAAGGGCAGGGGCTGGGGATTTAGCTCAGTGGTTCTGCCACCTGCCTTGGATGCGCAAGGACCCGAGTTCGATCCCCAGTACCAAAAAAAAAAAATACAAAGGGCTGGGGATGTAGCTTAGTGCCAAGGTCCTGAGTTCAGTCCCAAGAAATGGAAAGAAAAAATAATTTACAAACCAACTGGAAATCACAGGGGTGGCAGAACTGTCCCATCATCCCTGTGAAGTGAGTGTCCTTTTGAACAATTCTAGAACCATATTCCAAGTGTCACGGTGTTCAGTCATGCTCTGGTTTTGGAACACGCTCATTCCCACGTGAAGGCGCCTTTGAAACAAGCAGTGTGTCGGGGCTACGGGAGATGACAGTGGTCCCCCAGGAGCCCTTCTGCAGCTCCTTTCCCTCCCTGATGACAGTAAGCAGTCCTACTGACGCATCAGCAGTTAGCATTAGTTTTTACTTTAACCTTTTCCTGAAAGATTTCCGGCGTTTTTCTCTCTCCCTAGTAGAATCGATCTTTACTTGCCCGTGAATTTCCATTCATAGCTTAGTTCACAGCGTGAGCATCTTTCTCACTCCACCTGTGCCATCTCTGCCACTGACCTGTCCCTTCCTTCCTTCTTTGCTCAGCTCTCTGTTCCCCTTAATCTGTCCCCACCCTGCCCCTAGCAATTCGTTTCGGACGGATGCCAAGATCTGAGAAAGCAAAACTGAAAGCAGAAATCCTCACCTGTGAGCATGACACCGAAGACTCCGAGACCGCCGACCTCAAGTCCCTGGCCAAGAGGATCTACGAGGCCTACCTGAAGAACTTCAACATGAACAAGGTCAAAGCCCGCGTCATCCTCGCAGGAAAGACCAGCCACAATCCAGTAGGTACTCCGGGGCCAACGGGGAGGGTCTCAAGGGTGTCCTGGTGACCCAGACTGTGACTGAGGAAACTTTCAGTGCTGGGAAAATAATATTCATCCCAAACACAGACAGAAGACAGTGGAAATGCAGATGGTCCCTTCTGGGGCTCCAGGATGGAGTTTAAGAGCACTGCTGCCTTCTAGCTTGAACTCACCTCCCCACTCCTGGCAACCAGGTTATTACAACGGCCCGGCCAGGGATGTAGCTCAGCACCACAGTGCCTGCCTGACAAGCTCGAGGTCCTGAATTTGATCCCTGGTACCAAAAAACAAACAAACAAACAATGGCCCTACGTTGAAACACCAGAAATAACCTCACTAATGCCTCACCAGGCTCCAAGTTTGTTTCCTAAGTGTATTTATCTGAATCCCTACTTAAGTCCAGAAAATCAAATGGCTCATTTCCCACTCAAAATATACTCTTGCACCCTTCCCCTAAAACTCCCCCTGGGTTTCCCCTTGGGGTCCCTGTCCCTCCTGGACCCACCTTCCTTCTTCCCTGTCCAGGCTTAGAAAGGGTCGTTGTCTGCAGAAATCTACCTCACTGGCCACTGCCCCCACCCAGGAGTCCTCCAGCGTCGCTCCCTTGCAGGTGTCTATGCTACCTTCAGAGAGAGGCTGCCCTTGAAGACATTTTGCCTTTTTCCTACAGACGTGGTGCAACAGGTTTAATTTCTCCTAATGAGTAGCTTGGAGCATTCCTTATTGGGAATTACAAGCTGGAATTTTTAGTCACAGGAAAAGAAAGGATTTCACAAGCTTCTTACTTTCATGAACAAACCTAAACTCTTTTCCTGAGTCTTTTAACTCTTCAGTGAATTCCGAAATTAAGTAGACCATGGCAGTTTAGAAAGTCCCTTCAGACTCTGCCCAGAGGCTCAGGCCACTGAGATCCTTTGGGGACCACAGGGTGAGTGTGGGCAGCCTTTACCTTTGAATTTCTGTCCTGAAAATGACTAATATCGTCCTGAATTAGGGAAACCAAAATTTCATTTGAGCGCTTATGTTTCTCCCTTGAATTTTAAGAACGGGAAGCACACTTATGTCACTTGTACTTGTCACAGAGCTGTTCCTTGGGAAGCATCCGATTCCTATTGAGTTTCCCCCGCGTCTCCCCACAGAGCCCCACAAAGCTCTTAGGCCATCATCGTCAACTTTGTCTGGAGTTGAAGAAACCAGGACTGCTGAGCTTCTCACAAGCAAGGAACAGATTGGTAGCTAGGATTGGGGTTCGTGGTCTCAGAAAAACAGAAAGGAGACCATGGCAAACAGTCAGGGGCCCTCCTGCCCACACACATCCATACCAGGCACCCTGCGGCCAGCTCTAAAGCACTGGCCAGCTGTGCACTCCAGGCCAGGGTGACATGCACGCCAGGTCCTGTTTGTTGTGCCGCAGGCCTGGCTCCATCTCTGCTCTTTCGTGTGTGCCCACCTGGACAAGGCCCCACAGGCAGGCGTCCAGCACCAGGCTGCACTGCCAGTGGGCATCTGAAGAGCAGTCCGTGTGTCTTAAGAGTCCAGAGCAACTCCCTGTGGTGGGGGGAACCTATTAGGGAGACCAGGTCTTGGCCCTGATGCGCTCACCTTGGTCTGGGACCACCTAGCACCCCTATCTGGGCTCTAGCTGAGCCCCCAGTGGCACATAACCTCGAGTCCGCACCTGACCCCCGTGCTGATAGGGGATGGGAGGAGGATAAGGATCAGGCCAGGCTGGGAAACATTCACCGCATGAGTGAAGTCGTGTGCGGGGCACAATGGGCACTCCCATTGGCACAGGTACCCACTTTCTCCCCAACCTGGACCAAAACTCTGCCCGTAAGTGCTGTGCACTGTGCCAGGGACAGGCAGGAGCCTGAGAGGCATGTGGAGCTGGCCTGAGTGGGGCTGGGTGCAGAAGCCCATTCCCTTGCTCTGGGGACCTGGCAGATACAGCAGTGCCAGGCCGGCCTGGGATGCTGGGATGAGGGGACCTGGACAGGGGCTGCTGCTGGGGGTGGGGCAGGTTGCTCTGGGGAGGGGTGGGTTTTATTGGAGGGAGGGGCTGAGGAGATGGGTGCCCTGGGAAAGGTCCTAGTCTCTAGCTCTCAGACCTGTGGGCCCTGCAGTGGCAGGGCCAGAGCTCCTCGGGGACCCACTGCCCCTTGACTTCGGGTGATAGAAACGGAAGCAGAGCTGAGGGGGAGAGGAAGGAGTTGTCTCCTCTGAGCATGGCTTCCAAAGGGGGACTTGCAGCAGCTTCTTAAAGTTACCGTGCTGGCCTGTTAGGGTTAGGAATGTCATGAACACATGAGGAAGTGGACCAGGGATTTAGCTCAGTGCCACCTCGCCTGCCTTGAAAGCACAAGGTCCTGAGTTCAATCCCTAGTACCAAAAAGAAAAAAGAAAAGATGAGAAAGCAACACAACAAGGCAGAGAACCCTGAAGCCGGGTGCAGTGGTGCAGGCCTGTAACCCCAGCCCTGTGGGAGGCTGAGGCAGGAGGGTCCCAAGTTTGGGCCCAGCCTGGGTTAGAGTTGGCGCCTCTCTCGAGATGCTTGCTTTCCCACAATGATGGGCTCAATCCCCATGCACTTGGGTACACTCACGCACACGCACCCATACTCACCTGTGTGCCTCAACACACACTGTGCTTGCTCTGGCTCCAGGGCTGCTCTTGGCTTGGAGAGCTGGCTGCCCCTTCTGCAGGGGGGTGAAGGTGTTTGGCTGGGGAGGAACCAGGCCACTCCTCAGTGCTGAATACTTTGACTTTGGAATTTCAAGGTATAAGATGAAAATAATGTAGCACTGCTACGTTTTGATCTAACATCAGAGCTTTATCCCATCTGAGTGAATAATGATCAGAGGCATCCTGTGTTTATTTCAGCCCCTTAGTGCTCAGAAGAGCTGGGATTTATCTTGAGTCTAAATATCCCCAGTTGTAGGATATCTTTACCCTCTGAGAGAATGAAACTGTAGACAAAACCCTGTGTCAGTTGTAGCTGATAAGGAAAGCCAGGCGGGGTTATGCAGAGTAACAGTCTTGCTTGAAGGAAAAATAAGCAAAGCCAGGAGACAAATTTTTAACCTGCACCCCACCTCACAGCAGCACAGGGCCTCATATCAGCTTCAAAATAAGAATCCAGCATCCTTCCCAACATTAGAACCTGTGAGGTGCCACGTTGGAACAGAATTGCTTCCCTGCTTCCCTTCTGGGTATTACCTTGTAGCATGTGTTGGTGTTGCCCACTGTATTCAGGTCAGGTGTCTGCAGGCTGAAAACACAGTTAATAATGTGCACTATTTCTGGAAATGTGAAGTAAAATATAACCAAGAGCTTAGCAGATAGTTTCATCAAAAGCAGTTCTAACAAGGAGTCACATTTCCATTTTTCCTAGAAGATCACGGTGGCCTAACCTTTCCTAACTCTCGAGCATAATGCCCTTGAACACCACCCACCCTCATGAGGTGCAGCCAGGATTGCAGCTTTCTGGGGTTGGCCCGGAGAGATTTGAGCAGCTGGGGCTTTCTGCCTCATGCTGTTTATAACCTGTACAAAGTGCTCTATTTGCAATGACTGGCTGTAGTCCCAGACATATTCCTGTTCAGACTTGAGAATAAAAAGCACGTTCCCAAGGTAAATATAAGCTGCATGGATTTTAAAAATAGCCTTACCAAAATTGTGTACCAACAAAGATTGGCAATTTTCCAGTGAGTTTTAGTACACGGGTTCTTTTTAGTTACAGCGCACATCTGTGTCTGAATGTTAGCACTTGTTTTTTAATCCAAATGGTTTCCAATTTTGCCTGTTAAAGGAAGGCCTGCTTGGGCTGGGGATTTAGCTCAGTGGCACCGCACCTGCCTTGCAAGCGAAAGTCCTGAGTTCAATCCTCCGTACCAGAAAAAAAAAAAAAAAAAGGAAAGCCTGCTTTCCAGAACTGAAGTGGTAATCTCATAAAAATGAATATAAAAAATGAATAAGAATACATGTTGCCATATAAGTCTCCATCAACGAGGGTCCACTGCACCCAAAGGTAGGCCTGGGCCGGCTCCCTGGACACAAGGTGGTGTACAAGCCTGGAAGGGCCCAGGCAGGGACTCACACTGCTGTGGCGGTCTTGGGATTCTTGGTTACCCTGTAACAAGCAACCACCTTTGCAATTTGTTTTAGACCCTGAAAAGTATGTAGCCAGGCCTGCCCTAGACCCATGACGCACTTTACTGTGACAACCACAATGACTGTGAGCATTCTGTAGCCAAACATGCCGGGAACCCCTGCCACCAGTGTGCTCTAGACCATTCACAGTGCACAGGTCCTGTGGGAAAGACTCTGGCAGGTCCCAGCTTCACTTAACTCATTGTTTTTGTCATTCTTCTTTTTTTTTTTTTTTTAACTTAAAACTATTTATTTAACACTTATTTCTGTTTGAATACACTTTAGAAAAAAGACAAGGACTTTACTAAAGTTAAGGTAGCCTAACAGTATGTTTCTCTCTAATTGAGGGACTACCACCATTTATCCTTTAAAAATACAGCACTCAGCTGGGTATAGGGACACATGCCTGTAATCCCAGCACTCTAAGAGGCCAAAGCAGGAGGATTGTAAGTTTGAGTCCTGCCAGGGCAACTGAGCAAAATATTGTCTCAAAATTTAAAAAAAAAAAAAAAAAAGAGCTGAGGATGTAGCTTAATGAGAAGGCTCTGGGTTCAATCCCCAGTACCACAAAAAGTCCTCCCCCCATATCCATGGAAGACTGGATCCAGGATCCCCAAGGATACCAAAATTCACAGATACTGAAGACCCTTTTAAAACAGTATAGTACTTACACAAAACTTAAGCACAACCTCTTGTATACTTTAAATTATTCTCTAGATCACTTATAACACCTGACCAATGTAAGTGCTATATTAATAGTTGTTATACTGTATTATTTCGGGACTAATGATAGGGGGAAAACGTCTGGGGCTGGAGGTATAGCTCAGTACCAGAGCACTTGCCTTGAATATGTAAGGCCTTGGGTTCAACCCCCAACACCACCAGAAAGAGTCTGACATGTTCAGTACAGATAAAGTTCTTTAAAAAATATATTTTTAATTCAAGGTTGATAGAATTCACAGCTGGGGGGGAGTTCCGCAGACACAAAGGGCTGTGTTGCTAGGCCATCCAACAAATGTTAGTTCTTAAATCAGCTTCAATTTTTTACAAAACACAGCTGTCCTCAAATTTTTCCAGAGCCATGGTTATTGGCCTGTTTAAGGTCTTTGGAGATGGACCGTTTTGGTCTTCCTTATTCTGACCTGACATATTGAGAACTTTGGCTTTGAATTCTATGCTCTTGGTGGCAGAGTGCTTGCCTGGCATGTGGGAGGCCCTGAGTTCCCTCCCCAGCTCCACAAACACAAGAAAAAAATATACCCTATTGAATTTTGTGTTTGTTTCCACTCATTCAGGGAGTAACATTTAAAGTGTCCTTTTCCTCAGTGCAGAATCAGCTGTTTTTGTCCAGCAAGTTCTGGCTCTGTTTGAATACCTCATGGGTAGCCTGCCTGTTCCCACTGTGCCCATCATGCCCACCGTGCTCAGTACCGGGCACAGGCCGGGTGCCTGACAGCAGCTTTACACTGGTTCCTGTGATACCTGGGACAGCTCAGAAATGGGATGTGTCAGGCCACCTACCCAGGCGCATTGTCAGTGGGTGTGTTGCCCACTGGTGCCCTGCTCTGGGCCGTGGCATCTCAGAGGGGTGGGAATAATGGTGGCTGCTTCACATGGAGGGTGGCATATGTGAGTTTGGCTTGGCATCAGGTGCCTGCTGTTCTCAGCCCCAGCAGATCCAATCCCTGTGGGCCAACAACATGGCCCACCAGCTCTTTTTCCACCTCTAGATACTGTTTGGGATTTATTTCTTAACTGTAGCTATTATGGGGTGCAATTGTTACAGTGTAACAATTCAATATGTGTTCAAAGTGCGTAGTGATCACTTCAGAGTAATTGTAATTAGCATTTCTGTCTCCTTAAACATCAATTCTTTTGTGTTGAGAACCTTCAAACTTCTTCTTCCCCCTCCCCCCTCTTATTCCTCTTCCTCCTCCTCCTCTTCTTCTTCTTCGTCTTTGTCTTCTTCTTTATCTCCTTTTGTTTTGTTTTGTTTCTGATTCAGGGCCTCACTGTGGAATGCAAGCTCACACGTACCCATTGAGGTGTGGGGAGATGGCAGGACTAGGAGTTACAGGGCTCATGTAGGTGAACAGCACCGCAGAGGGCACCAGCTCTGACACCTGACACTTGCCCCAGGAGCTGACGCTTGTCCCAGGCCTGGGAGCTGACTCCCACTAAGCATTCAGTATTATGCCCTGGAGAAACAAGGCCGGCGTGGGCGCCTCAGCTCCGTCCCCACAGACTTCAGCAGCGCTGTCCACTGTGTCCACACTAATGCCAGCACTCTGAGAAGTGAATATTCACATGCAGATTTGTCCATTTAACAGCCAGTGTTAACGCCGGTTACTTACCTGCAAGGGTTATGAAATGGTAAACTTAAGAATTACCATAATTCCTTAGTACTATTGCTGTAGTATTTAGGAGTTTAGGGAATATTTTAAAATATTAAAGGTACTTTGCTAATATTTTCTTGTTAGCTTTATTACCAAAGTCAGTTCTCCAGTTTCTTTTCTTTTTATTTAAAATTTTTTTTTATTGTACCGGAGATTGAACCCATGGCCTTCGCGTTGAGTTACATCCTCATCCCCCCAACCTCCGTTTTTCTTTTTCTTTTTTTTTTTAGACAGAGTCTCTCTAAGTCACTGAGTTGCCCAGGCTGGGCTCCAACTTGTGGTGCTCCTGCGTTGGCCTCCCAGAGTGCTGGGATTATAGGCCTGTGCCACCATACCCAGAAATACTCCAGTTTCTTAGCAATGAAATCCCTGCCCAAGGTCAGGCAACGACAATTATTATCTTACTTATTTATCTTGCAAGTGTCCCATTAACATCTTACTTTCTTCGACTCATTTTGAAGATGCCCAAGGGTAAAGACCGCTTCCCATGGATTCTGAGTTCCCCACGGCATCAGGCTGGGTGATGGGGCACAGTTGCTCCTGGCTCGTTACCAAGAGCACTGCCTGACTCATCACGAGCCACCTGCTCACTACAGCATCTTTTCTTGCAGCCTTTTGTCATCCACGACATGGAGACATTGTGCATGGCCGAGAAGACGCTGGTGGCCCAGATGGTGGCCAATGGCGTCGAGAACAAGGAGGCCGAGGTCCGCTTCTTCCACTGCTGCCAGTGCATGTCGGTGGAGACAGTCACCGAGCTCACGGAGTTTGCCAAGGCCATCCCAGGCTTCGCCAACCTGGACTTGAACGACCAGGTCACCCTGCTGAAGTATGGCGTGTACGAGGCCATCTTCACGATGCTGTCCTCGCTGATGAACAAAGACGGGATGCTAGTAGCGTATGGAAATGGCTTTATCACCCGCGAGTTCCTCAGAAACCTCCGGAAACCGTTCTGTGACATCATGGAACCTAAGTTTGATTTCGCCATGAAGTTCAACGCTCTGGAACTGGATGACAGTGACATTTCCCTTTTCGTGGCTGCTATCATTTGCTGCGGAGGTAAGTGGTTGGCTTACTCTGATGGTGTCAGGTCACTCCCAGGCTCTTCTCTTAAAGGACTTGATGGTGTTGACCGAGTCAGTGCCAGCGAAAGCTCTGTCACTGTGGCATGGGCACTGGCGGGTGGGAGGTGTCTGAGCCCCAGTGAGGGAGGCTGAGAACAGTGCAGTGAGAACTATGTCACTATTGTGTCACTTACAACCCTATATACAGAAACATGTATTTGTAGCCGAGCAGGTGGCGCACACCTCTAATTCCAGTACGCGGGAAACTGAGGCAGGAGACTCCAAGTTTAACCCCAACCTGGGCAATGTAACAACTTAGCAAGACTCTATCTCAAAATGAAAACTTGAAAAAACAGGCTGGGGATATAGCTCAGGGCAAAGACCCCAGACTCATTCCCCAGTACCACTAAAGAAATATTATGTAAATATATTTATGATGATGATGTGCTCCTTTTAATATAATTATACCTAATTTAACTAGCATATTGTATAATTAGTATTATGATATATGATAGTCTCATATTAATATTGTAATTATATAATTATGTTATATCCACACTATAAATTCTATTCTGTGAAGTGCCACACAGATGTTAGTACAGCCGCTGTCGCTACTGGTGACACTGATGCCATCTCATAATAAATAACACTGGCAGCTGAAGGCACTGATCGCACGCTCTGCTCTACCAGGGAAATGGATCCCGGGAGGAAGCACCGGGCCTCTCCGTGGAGCTGGCTCTGCAGCACCAGATTTTGGGCTAGGGTCACCTTCCTTAAATAGCCCTGTCCTGGGTCTAGGAAGGTCACCTGCCTACTGTAAACCCAGCCGACCTTGCCCAGCCACGGCAGAGACCAAGGAGTGACGGCCCCCAACCTGCCACCTGCCAGAAGCCACACTGTCCTCCTCAACACTCCCCACCCCGTCCTGTGGCCACCTGGCTGTACCGAGTCAGGTGGAAGAGGCCCTTCTGCCCTGGTGCAACGAATAGAGGGCCAGAGCCATGTGCATAATCTGTCCTTGTCCTTTCATAGGACCACTGAGGGCAGGAAGCACCTGCAGAACTCTTTACGTGCAGCGTATCACGGCTTCACCAAAGAAGCTCCAAGCGTGCAGAGTCCTGTTCGTGTAGCGATATCCAGTGAGGTAGACAGGAAACCTGTTATACCGGGTTGAAATGACCAGCGGGATCTTTTTAAAAATTTCTGTTTAAAACTTTACACGATTGTATTCATTTTACAACCCTAAAACAAGAAGATAAAAAAGTCCACATCAGCAGCAGCACTAAAAGTGAGACAGGCTTTAGGGAGTGGCTGCACCCAGTGTGGGTCAGGGCAGGTTTGCTGGACTGAGGGCTGGGACCCATTTCCTGAGCCTGTCCCAGAGAGGCCCCAGGTGTGCACGCTGGCGCTTCTGTGCCTTCCTGCTCCCTGCTCCAGGGTGCCGTGCATCCTGGCCAGCCAGTGTCCCCCCAGCCCATCCTTCTCACCCAACTCTCCCTCGTCGACTGTATCAGAAGGCCCTCGGAACCACAGGCCCATCACACTCCTTCAATGCAGCGGAAAGCTTGTAGCATCTGGCTGTGACCCAGGAAGACCTTCCTTTCCCGCATTCCAGGAAACTGTTGAAACGTCACCAGAATGTCAGCAAGCTCTGGCTGATATCTGGGTTTTCCCCTGGCAGTGGTGCTCAACAAATCCAAATGGAGGGCCACACTGCTGTGGGTAGAAAGTGGCGCTGTGAGTCGAGGAAGGAGTATCAGTCCCACCGGTCCCTATTAGGCTCAGGACTTGGGGAAAATCTGTCCTCAATGAGGTTCACCACATCTGAAGGCTGCTGGGCCTGGGTACCTCAGGCTGATGAGCAGGTACCAGTAATTCTCACGCACAAACATCTCTTTCTTCTTTTGAGAATAGATCGGCCTGGCCTTCTAAACATAGACTACATTGAGAAAATGCAGGAGGGCATTGTGCACGTGCTCAAACTCCACTTGCAAAGCAACCATCCAGACGACACCTTCCTCTTCCCCAAACTCCTCCAGAAGCTGGCAGACTTGCGGCAGCTGGTGACAGAGCATGCAAAGCTCGTGCAGGTCATCAAGACCGAGTCAGATGCCTCACTGCACCCGCTGCTGCAGGAGATCTACAAGGACATGTACTGAGGCCCAGCAGTATGACAGCAGCCACCCTGCAGGGATGTTGAACACCGGCAGCACTATAGAGGAAGAGTGGGAGCAGCTCGAATTTGCACCCTTTAACCTTGGAGATGGGAATCTTGTCCTGCAGTGGTCCTGCTGGCAACCAGCACTCAGAGAGCACAACTGCTACTCGAGTGCTGGTGCTCAGGACCCAGGAAATTAAGGAAATCATGAGCCACAGTCTGATTCTAACTCGCCCGATATAATCAGTGCATATTTCTTTATATCGCGTGCGTAATTTGCCATTTAATTAACGGGTAACCTCAATATACATGGTCTGTTCCCTTTCAACCGCCCCTTTTGACTCTTGTGCTCCCTCCTGATGTGGAAAACTAGTCAGCACTTTTTAACAACTTTTATAATCCTATAAATCTAGATGTAGCCAAAGGTTAGGTATTTAAAATGCAGCAGAATATTTATTTGGACAATATCAATTCTGTTTCCTGAATCTGAAGAAACAACAGGCTGTTTTTTAATCGTAAGACTGAGAATTTTCAAGAACAGTTTGATAAGCTATTAAAACGCAGCCATCGCTGGCCTGGGATTTAACTCAGTGGTTCTGCCGCCTGCATCACAAGTGCAAGGTGCTGAATTTGATCCCCGGTACCAAAAAAAAAAAAAAAAAATGCAGCCATCGTGTTGTTTTTTCAGTTCATAGTTTTTGTGGTCCCAGGTAGTTTGTGGCAAAGCCCATTCCCAGGCTCCTGTAGAAGATCCCAGGGAACTCTGTCCCAAGTCCCCCTCTGGGTGTTGTAAGTTGTGACTGGGGAGGGCTGGGGATTTAACTCAGTGGTTTCGCTGCTTGCTGTGCAAGCGCAAGGACCTGAGTTCGATCCCCGGTACCAAAAAAAAAAAAAAGGTTGTGACTGGGGTAAGCAGAGTCAAGACAAAACCTTCTCTTCCCTCCTGCTTACCTCTGTTCCTCTCAAACCGGAACCAACTCAATCAGGCTGCCTGGAGGCTGGGTAGTGATTTTAGGGCCAAGCAGAAATGATTTCTAAACAGTCCTCTGGGTCCTCTTCCGGAGCTCCTTTGTCTTTTCCTGTGTTGCCTTTTAAAATGTGATGCTTTATTGTTTGAACTCTCAGACTTTATCACCCCGGCTGGGCGGGGCTGGAAAACAAGAGAAGAACGCCAGGTCCCCCAGCAGCCAGTGGTACCTACTCTCAGATTTCTTGACAGGTTTTTTTCTTAGCAAAGATATAGTTAGGTCTCCTTTTTCATCTGTGTATATAAGGTAGGGTGTTTTTTTAACATCTAAAATAGTTTTAGCCTTAAAGATCAACTTTCCAACCTCTGTCCAATTGGAAAGCAGTGTTAATTATGGTTTTTGGCCTAGAGCTGCATTCTCTGTCTGTACACCTGGTAGATAAATGGTCACATAAAGAATCTTCAGCAGTGCCCCTCCCACCCTACCAGGCTGGTCTGATCTGCCAGTGTGTCTGCCACCGTTCAGGGCGCTGGGCACTTAGGTCCTGGTTGTCTTTGGTGCCTGCCTGCCTGCCTGCCTTCCTTCCTTTCCTTCCTTCCTTCCAGATCCAAAGGACCTGTTGTTGGCCAGCAGCAGCAGGCACCCTGCCCAAGTGCCTTAGGACCCAGAAGCAGAGGACACTCTTTCCATATCGGCCAACAGTCATTGCTGAGCCTGTTCCTTCCCCACTGTGAACTCCCTACACTGAGGAGACCCCAGGGCTGGGACCATCCAAGTGCAGGGTCCAGTGCTCAGTCTGTGTTGTCCCCACTACCGCACAGCCTCCTACTCTGATGTGCGCCAGACAAATACTGCTCAGATACGCGTGGCCTAGGAAGGGAGCCTCGAGACCCAGCCTGCCAGCAGCATCATCATTTGTCCTGTTTAAAGTTTCCCAAAACACATGCACAGCCATCTCCCATGTCCTGTTCTCTGTGGTGAAGCCAAAATGACTGGTGAGCTCTGTATTAGTCCACCTAATGCTCAGCATGTGGGGAGCATTTGATTCTGTTAGGGTCTTGAGAAACTATCAGTGATGTCCGTAAGGAAGCCAGAAAGGAGACCTGTGACCTCAGTGTGAAAGTCCTTTGACATTATTCACTTTTAATAGGAAGGAAAACCAGAAGTCTCATATATTTAAGCATCAAGTTCACTCATAGCCACCCTGTGCTAGAATATTTTGGGTCACCTCTTCAGAGATATCTCAGGGGATCAGTATTACAAAGGCAACCAGGACCTAAGTGCCCAGCGCCCTGAATGGTGGCAGACACACTGGCAGATCAGTGCCCACCCATCTGTGATGAATGTGGAGTAGAAAGAAACCTAGGACTGGGCACATCCAAGAATGCCAACAGAACCTGCCCTGTTTTAAAGGGATTTTTTTCATCCTCAGATCTAAGAAGGTTCCTTTCTGCTATACCTTTTTACACTGGGCCTTTAAGACCCCAAAGGACCAAACCACCTCAGGCACTGAGTGGGGGTTCAGGGAGGGTGCAGCAGTCCCCAGAGAGAGCAGAACCCCAAGGCACAAGCAGGCTATTTGGCAGATGACAAGCAAACTTTAATTCAACTACTTTCCTCCTCAACGTACCAGCTAACAGCTCAGTCAGCATTGCAAAGGCACTGTTAGAATGAAGGCGCACAAAACCTCAGCCTTTGTGGTGTCCCTGTGGTCCAGGTGTCACAGTTAGGGGTGCAGGGGCACACACTAGGTCTGTCCACCTGTACTTGGGAGATGGTGAGCTGTGGGATTTCCAGAGGAGCTCCACTGTTGAAAGGGAGCCTTTTGCATAAAATGTGCAGGTGCAAATATTGCTGCCCTGTCCAGTGAAGCTGAGACTGTGACCAGCATTCCCACTGCAGGGCCCCACCCACAAGGTGCTCCTCTTGTCCACTCCTGCTGCTAGCCACACAGAGAGCTTTCCCAAGAAAGGCCCTGCCGATGCTGGAGAGTGACCCTCATGAAACAGTGGCACTCAGGTCCTCTGCTTGTGGCTCACCTGAATCCCTCTGTTGGACCCAGAGCATTTCCCACCTTGAGACCCTTCAACACGGGACACCAGGCTCATTTGATACTTAGCATCGTACACAGGATGGAGGGGATTCTGTCCTGACTGGTGGCCTCACACATCCTTGGAACGATTTGTCAAACCTCAGGTTACAGACATTTCAACCAGTATGTTTGCACCCCCCAGCGGACACTGGCTTTTTTCGGGGTGGCAGCTCCTTCATGGTACCTCTTCAACCCAAGTGGCCTTTCACACTGCGGACCCCAGGCACCTGTCACATCCTGCAGCTCAGTACCTAGCTCGAAAGCAGCCTCCTGAGGTCTCCCACCTGCAGCCCCTGAGGGCTGCACCCCATTCTGAAACAGATACACCCAGCCTGGGATTGCTTGTCCACCCCTGCCACCTCTCTGATCTTCTGGTGCCAACAGACCAGCTGTCCACCAGCTATCTGTGCAGCCGATGCCCACTACCTGCAGTCAGCACAGCGGCCTGATGCATGTGTTTCTGCACAATTCTTTCCTGAAAAGACTTCTCTTACCTGGTGGTACATGCTGTCATCCCAGCACTCTGGTAAGCTGAGACAGGAGGATTGCAAGTTTGAGCCCAGCCTGGGCAACTTAACAAGACCCTGTCTCAACTATTTTTCTTTTTAAAAAGGGCTGGAGACATAGCTCAGTTTGAAGGCCCAGATTCAGTCCTTGGTAGCAAAAAAAAAAAAAAAAAAAACCTCCTATGTTCAGAACAGTGGTGTGGACTTTGGTAAGGCAAGTCACAAATCAATACCGATGCCACCAAGGGAGGAAGAGTATCCAGGGACTGTTTCAACGCATGTGAGTGTGACAGCACAGACATTACCAGGCATGGAGAAGGACTGACTCTTCTCATTTTAAAAGTGGCCCAGTTTCTCTCCACTCGAGTGGACTGTGCTGTGCCAGTGCTCTTGGCACCCACACCTCCAAGGACAGCAAAGGTGGAGGCTGCCCGGCAGACTGCCCTCAGATGTCACCTTCCAGAAATGAAGGTCCACAAACACCTGCAGCAGAAAGCGTGTTCTGCCACCTGCCTCACAAGCGTTAAGTCCCGAGTTTGATCTCCAGTACCGAAAAAAAAAAGAAAGCACAGAGGATCTTGGCTCCAAGGAGCTGAGGGAGCATGGGGACGAATCAGTGCACATTCAGCTGTGTTGGTGCAGCCGGGGGACATCGTAGCAAGGGATCATGTCATTGGCAGCAGTCACCAAGCAGCCTTTGCCAGGCCACTACTCCTGAGAGACCCTCTGCCAGCAGAGATGTCAGAGTAAGCTCCGAAGGAGATTTGCTGGGATGTCTAAATATATACTGAGGTGCCAAATTTAATGGAATTCAGAAAAACGGTCATCACCCCCCAGTCTGCAAAACAGGATAACCACCAGAGCACTAATTTGGTCAGACTCAGAACATAGGGGACCATTATATCTCTTTAAAACTCACAATCACACTAAAATGTAGAACTGGAAGTTTTGTTTAAAAAGAAAAAAAGGCAATGAGCCTCCCTCTGCCTTCGGCCTAAATAACTACACAGCGGTCCCCATCACGCTCCTTGAGTGGGATGCAGCAGGCTGTTACGCTGTGTCAGCAGGTGAGCTGCAGCCTGTGTGGCCCCATGTGAAGGTAGAGAGGTGCAGCCCTGTCTGTTGCATCCCGGGCACTCGAGGATGGCTTCACAGAGCTGGAACCCGCTGTCAGATGACCCTGTGCTTCTCAGGATTTCAGGAGACATGAGAAACAGCATTGCTACTTCTGCCTGACCCCCAGCGCATCCCTTTAGTGAGGGAGGAGCGGGCAACTAAGGTGCACCATGGCGTAGGGCCCCATCTCTCCAGAACAGACCAACCGGGTCCATATTCGGTGTCGGACCTGATGAACCAATGGACAACGCCAAGTACTTCAGGGGCTCCTGGCTGCTAGATGCATTGTTTGCTAAAAAAAAAAAAAAAAAAAAAAAAAAAAAAGGAATTGTTCCTTCTTGCTTTTTAAAATTAGCCTGGAAGAAATGAGGACAGGAGCTTAAAAATCACATGATTTCTCTTATATGAGAAACCCAATGTATAAATAAAGTGCAAAATAAAAGGCAAAAAAAAAAAAAAAAAAAAGCAAGAAAAAAATTTGCTAGTTTGAGTCAGAAGTGAAAATCCTCCATGTTTTTCTCTCGAGAAGGAAATATACTGGCCACTTCCGCTCTTGCCCTTCTTTTCCCCTACCCAGCATCAAATGTTCCTTCATCAAGTTCACTGATAGAGTATCACACAGGCTGGCACACAAGCCCTAGCAGGAAAAGCAGAAGGGCAGGTGGGCCCCTGAGTCCCCTGGCCCGCAGGGGTTGCTCTTGGGCACCTGGAAGGGAGGGGGCCTACCCAGGCCTCTGTCTGAGTTAGATGAGGGCCAGCTCTAGGCCCGAAGATCAATAAATGACTGATCCTTCCTGTAAAATCAATCACTTTTGGAAAATTCCCTATTTTAAAGGCACAGTCAGTTCCTTCTCAGGCCTAAACAAAATGTACCTCACAACAGATGCACACTATGTTGTACCCTTTTTGTAAGGTTACAGTATTATTCATGTTGTCACTTCTTTTTCTATACCGTATGGTAAAAAGAATTAAGTGAACAGCTGTATCAATACTGTGATGTGAGTTTTTTAAAACCATCCTAATACAAATAGCTGACTAATTTGCAATCATGTGTCTAATAGCTAAATGTGAATTAGTGGATTTTCAAGTCAGTGTTCATTGCGGTTAAAGCCTGGCTCTTGAATGTACCGGAAACAGGAAGCTGAGCTTGAACAATGGAGACCCAAGGGCATGTGGGTGCACATGACCCTGGAACTTTTCATTTCTCCTGAGACACGCAGTACTCTCCTTGTGTAAATCTGTTCCCTCTGCTATACTTTATATGTAGGAAGTAAACACCTGTCTTTATCCATTTCCACCAGTGAGGCCTTCTTTGACCCCAGGTGGGTAGTCACAGACTTCACAAACCACTAGCTAGTCCTATCTTGTTCACAGCATCTGCTCTTCAGGGAATCATGACCTATGGATTATTACCAAAGAACCTTGGCAGGCTGACATGTTCTGGTGGAAATCATTTGCAGCCACTGGTTCTCTGGAAGCCCCTGGATAGCACAGCCCAAAGCACAGGGCAGAAACCAGAGCCCGAGTGGCCCTTATTCTGCTTCCGGTATCTTGGCCACATTTCCTTTTGGTGCATCTTGGTCTCTGTGACACCCCCTAGGTACCACTGTGCTATTGCACTGAACCTAGGAGAGGGTCTAACGGACATTCTCAAGGAGGGACACATTTCCAAAGCAAGGACTGTGCTGGGCCCCTGCCATGTGCCAGGGTCGCCGTTCTTAGGTGCCTTATGCTCTGAGAGTGGCCAGAGGCTGCCAGCCCTGGCCTCCTTAGCGCAGAGTAGTTCCATGTAGGAACTGAGGCACAGGCTCCAGCGTTCTCCCCAACCTCACAACCTCCTAGCGGCAGGGCTGTCCGGGACCTCAGGAATCCAGGGTGCAAACAGGAGGGCAAATGTAATTTCTCTAGTTACATTAATGGATCGGTTCCATGCAATTAGAAAATGGCTGTAACATTACCTTAATTTTTAAAAATTTTGGGTCATCTTCATTTCCCTGTAAGGAGACTGAACCGACTATATGTATTGATTTCTATCCTGAATTGATCGGAACTGGTATGTCTGGAATGTCCTACTGTAAGACTGGTGAATGTAAAGAGTTAATTTCAGGGTACAGTTTTGCCTTAATGGTTGTAAAAATTAAACTATTTTTAAAAATTATTTGGTGCATTGAGTGATGTGAGAATTACTGGGTATGCACAATGAAAAAAAAAAGTAGGAAAAAAAACAAACAGTAGGCATTTAAAAATAAAACCCAGTGCACACACCAGTGAGAAAAAGCTCTTTATCCATCTTTTATCAAACATGACAGAGGCCTTGCAGTGGTCATGAAGTGGGACAAAGCAGCCCCTGCCTCTGCAAATGCTAAGCAGACACCCAGCGCTCGACACCACGGATGCCACTGTGTGGGGGCAGGGCCACGGTGACATTGGCTGGCGGGGGGGCGGGGGGGCGGCTGGACGTCACCAGCACTGAGGGCTAAGTCCAAGATGGCCAGGGGCACTCTACCTGACTTGGGGATGTGGGAGAGAGAAGGGGGTGGGCTCTGAGCTGGGGCTGGCCATGGGGACTGTCCATACCCACCATGGGGATATCCCCACCCAGTGTCCACGGGGAACTTCCCCAGCCACAGCCCACCCAAAAAGCCTGCAGGGACATCTGGTCTCCAAGTGCTGAGTGGAAGGATTACCTTTCAAAACATTAGCTGGTTCTCTGAGTTCATGATTAACATGGTCAGGATTTCAACCACCTCTCAAAGTGTGAAGTGAACCCCTCTCCCCTCTACACCTGCCGAGGGGAGCGCTGGCAGACCCCGCAGCACTTCCCCTGCTCCTGTGTCTGCTGCACATGCACCCATGGTGACCTCGGCCCACTGTTCACCCAGGAGGCGCTGAGGCCGCAGTGCTGTGCCTGGCATGCCCCCTGTCTTGGGGGTGCCCAGCCTGCTCAGCTGCAGATCTGCTCCCAGGAACGAGGCTGGCACCGAGGGTGGGCTCTGCGCAGGCTGCGCTCATGTCCCAGGACAGGCCCTGCCCAAGGGCCGCTTGGAGGAGGGGGCTTTCCTCTTCTCCAGGTCTTGCTGGATTTCTGGCGGGAAGGCGCTGAGGTTCTTCTGGACGCAGGGCAGACAGAACCTCTTGGAGTAGAACAGACTGCATTCCTGGGAGGAGCAAGGGATGACTGAGACCCCAGCAGCACCCACCACAGGGCTGTCAAGGGCCCCCAGAAGGTCAGTAAGGCCAAGATGGCCAGGGGTCTGAGGGGCTGGCACGGCATCCAGGAGAGGCCCCAGTGGGAAGAGCCCAATGGGACAGAGGTGACAGTGACAGGGGGCTGTGCCTCGTGTTCATGCCTCCAATTCATGCCAGTGATGGAGTGAAGGAAGCAAACCATACGGCCAGTTCGACAGATGTGCCACAGGCCACCCCCAGAGCCGGACTTCCTCGAGTTCTGTTCCTGTATCACTGCAGGGACAGGACGTGGGGCCACAGGGAGCCAGCAGCAGCAAGGCACAGAAGGCAGGGGCAGCCCCTCCACCCCCTCGTGTCCATTCACCCCATGATGTCAGCATCGGGACTGCACACACACACACACACACACACACACACACACAAACAGCACACAGCACCAAGCTCAGGACAGTGCTTCCCAGCACTCTTTGCAGCTGGGGATGGCCATGTGACTCCGTCTGGTCAAGGCTATCTCCAACAGCTGTGTGTGCCACCTCCTGGTCACTCCCTTCAAAGGAATGGGCCTGTATGTGCTCCCTTGTCCCTTCCTACTGGCTGGGATATAAATGTGATGATGGGAGCTGCAACAGCTATGGTGGGCCACAATGGATGTTGTGTGTTGCTGATGGCAAAGTGCTTGGGGCTGTAAGACTCGGACCACCTAGAGAGCCCCTCCAGCCAGCTCTCGCTGGACCTTCATTCTCTGTCATGTGAGCCCTGGGCTCTGAGGACCCACACCCACTCCCCACTGGAGATAGGAGGGCCAAGTTCTCCCTGCCACGGTGGTAGCCCAACCCCGCTTACCCACCGGGCCCACGCACACCAGCCTGCTGCATACGCTGCACTGCGCACCGAGGACCAGGAACCTGCCCCTGTCTGGCGAGAAGGGGTCCTTCATGATGTAGCTCTCCTCCAGGAGGCTGTAAGGACAGGAGCTCAGTGACAGACAAGCCTGCAACTGCAGGCCACCAGAAGACCTGACAGGACAGGAGGGGCCCCTCAGCCACAGGGGCTGCCCCGTGTGACCCCAGCCCTGAGCTGACTCCTGGAGTGGGATACAATGCCACGCAGGGAGACTGGGCACCGTCCCTACCCTCACCGGCCTGCAGGCTGCATGTCAGAACAAGGCCGCAGGGACACCAGGTGACCACTGCCACTGTGCCCCATGCAAGGACCGAGCTGGTCAGCCCTCCACACATGGCAGCTGATGAAGGACAAGCTGGCAGTCAAGAAGCAAGCCCAGGACTACCTCCCTACCCGCCTGCTCTGGGCAGATCACAGGAAACCAGTCCCTATGCCTGTTCCCCACCAGCACAAGGACACTGAACAAGACAGGTACCCTGCCACGCAACTGCCACGGGCAGGATGGCACTAGGGCACAGCCCCAAGGGAGGAGCCCATCATGGCTCTGTGGCTGGGCTGTTCCTGCCTGGCCTTGGGCATCCCCTACACTGCAGCCTGCAGGGAAGGGCAGGGTGGGGCGGGGCCAGGAGGGTCCAGCAGCCCAGAGCCTCACCTCACCCCACCCCGCCCCGCCCTCCCCTCTTGGGTCTCACTTCTAGTATCCAGAGCCATGGCAGGGACAGGCCAAAAGCATGGCGGCCTGAGACTGTACTCACAGGACAGACTGGGTATTGGGGGGCTTCTGTCCCACGTAGCTGTAGGGTGCAGTCAGGGCACAGAGCTGGCACTCGAACACTCCCAGGGGACTGCGCTCGGCCTCAGACGTCATCTACAGGATCAGAGATGGCTGTCACCTTCAGAACCAATGCCACCCACCCCAAACCTCACAGCCCACTGTGTGCTTCACACCCACAAAATGCAAGGTCCCTAGCAGATGGGGAAACTCAAGAGCACGAGCATTGGACTCCTGCTGGGCCATGAAATGGATCTCAAGCTTAAAACACAGAAATCATACAGTTTATTCTCTAACCCCAAAATAGTCAGAAATCAGTAATAGAAAGACCTGGAAAAGCTCACAATCTGGAAATTTAAAAACGTGTTTCTGAAGAAATCATAGTTCACAAGAGAAATTAGAAAATAAACTAAACTAAATGGAAACTAAAATGCAACATATAAAAATTGGTAGAATGTACCTTAAGCAGTACTTAGAGGGAAACTGACAGCACTAAATGTTTACATTAGATGAGAATGTTTAAAATCAAGTAACCAGGTGTGCAGGCCTACTACAATCCCAACACTCTGGGAGGCTGAGGCAGGAGGATTTCTAGTTTGAGCACAGTCTGGGCAATCTACCTAGTCCCTGTCCCTAATTTTAAATATATATATATTTAAAGGGCTGGGGATACAGCTAAGTGCAAAGGCCCCGGGTTCAATCCCCAATGATCAAAAAAATCATGTAAGTGGTGATTTAAGAAACTAGAAAAAGCCAAAGTATACCCAACATATGTAGAAAAAAGGATATAATGAAAAAGATACAGCCATAGACAAACAGAAAAAAAAACAATAAAACCAAAGTTGCTTATTCCAAAAGGTCACTAAAAGTGACCTTTAATGAGATTGATCAAGAAAAACCGCAAAGATATGAATGACTAACCTCAGGAACAAGAAGAGGACATCACTAAGACCAGAGACATTAAATAGATAAAGCAATGCTATGAAGAACTTTCAACCAAAAAAATCTGACCATCAGATCAGAGGAGTAGATTTCTTGACAAATAACAATTATCAAAAGTGCAGGGCGTGGTGGTACACACCTGTAATCCCAGCACTAGAGAGGCTGAGGCAGGAGGATCACTGTAAGTTTAAAGCCAGCCTGGGCTCCATAGTGAGTTCAACACCAGCCTAGACTACATAGTAAGACCCTGTCTCAAAAAAAAAAAAAAAAAATCAAAATTAACTCAAGAAGAAACAGGAAACCTGAATAACACTACATCTACTAAGAAAATTAAATTCATAATTAAAACTTCCCCAGAAATGAAATAAAAGAACCTATTTTTTGTAAAACTGACAAGCCTAGATGGCTTTACCAGCAAATTCTGCCAAGCACTTCAACAGGAAGACTCCTATACCGGCTTCCAGAGTCTAAGGGAGAAAGGACTACTTCCCCTGGTGTCAGGAAGGCAGGACTCCACAGACACCAGCCCGAGGGTTACCCAAGATGATGAACTAAATAAACAGGGCTACCAGGGGGATCCAGACCCATATCCTCATGGGCATAAATACAAAAGTCCTTAACAGAACAGCAGCCAGCTGGGTTCAGTCACGTACAGGACAAGGCCTCATATACCATGAATGAGCGGATCGGTTCCAGGAACACAAGTATTCCCAAAACAATGAATACAATTCATGCCAGTGACAGAATAAAGGAAGCAAACCATGCAGCCAATTCAACAGATGTAGAGAAAGAACGGCAAACTGTGCCTGGCCCTCCCACAGCACAGCAGTGTGGCTTCATGACGGTCTATAGGGTGAATTCCCTTCTTCGGCACCCGAGAGCCACTTAGCTTGGCACCCGTTTCCACCCAGGCCGTGGCTCCGGGCCACTACCCATCCTGCAGACCCTGTACCCTCACCACCTAGCCTTTGCCCTGCTGTCCCTTCTGTCCCTCCCACCAAAGGCCTCCCCTCATCCCTACCCTTGGGTTTCTCTCTGGCTGCAGTCAAGATTATTATCTTTGGTTTTGAATATATTCCTAAGGGTTTTTTTCTTTTAAAGTTTTTTGTTCTGATGGTGTTTCTTCAGGCAAATTTCTTAATCTGTGATTTGATATCTTTCATTACTTTTAGACTATTCAACTACTTCTTCTGCCCCATTTTTCTCTTTTCTGCTGAGATTCCAACTGCAAATTGTTGTTATGCCATTTGATGTCATCCACAGTTCCTGGATGCTCTATTCTGGGGTTTTCACTCTTTTCTTTCTGTGTTTCAGTCTGGGTAATTTCTATTCACCCATGTTTAAGTCTATCGATTCTTTTTTTCTTAGCTATGGCAAATCAATACATGTGCCCTTTTTTTTGAGAGTGTCTCTCTGTGTTTTTGGGTGTGGTCTAGTTTTTTGTGTAGCGCAGGTTGGCCTTGAACACAGTGATCCTCCTGTCTCAGCCTCCCCAGGGTTGGAATGACAGGCATGCACCACCAGGCCTGGTTCCATGTGCCTTTAAAAAGCATTCTTTACTTCTGCCATATTTCACTACCAAGACTGTGTCCTTCTCTGCTGAAATTCCCATGTATTTGTGTACGCCGAGAGAGCCCTTAACATACAAATTGTGCTTTTCAACTCCTCCTGTGCTAGTTCTAACATCTGTATCTGATTCAGTTCTACAAGTTGTTTTGATCCCTGACAGTGTGTTCTTCATCTGGTTTCTTTGCTTTTAGATGAGTCTCATTTGGTTGAGGGCTGGGCGCCGTTTCTAAGGCAGTGAAGCAATGCTTCTGGCTGAAAGCAGTGTCTCCACCTCTGCTGGGCCTTTACTGTGGGCGGCTCAGTCCATCTAGTGAGCAGGAGAGGTGGACATGGATTTCCTCACTGCTATTGTTCTCCTCAGGGTGTCTCTGTCTTAAATTTCCCTAGCCTTACTTGTGTTTAGGTGTGAGATTTATTTGTCCAAAGTTTTTCTCAAAATCTGCTCTACCCTCACCTTTAGGCCACAAGGTGTCAGGTGGCACAGCTGTACCAGGTGTCCTAGTATTCTGACCCAACTTCCAGTTTAGGGTTGGGCAGGAATCCCAACCCTCCCTAGCTACAGGAGACCTCTAAGGACACAGCCTCAGGACTGTCCTCTGCCCCACCCCCACCCCAGGGGCCTGTCCTCACCTCACCCACAGGGTGACAGGACTTGCTGCCCTTCCCCAGTGGTGTGAGGGTTTTGCTGCACTAGGGTGGACAGAGGCAGCTCTAGGTTGGGGCAGCAGCCTCCTCCTCCCCTGGGTGTGCAGGCCAGGAAGGCTTTCTCCCTCCTTCTGTCTCCTTTCCCTACAGCACTCAGCGAATACTGGTGAAGTCAGCGTGGGTAAAAACTTACCTGTTTCCAGGGGCTCTGCCACCTCACCTTGTCTGCCCATGTGTCACCGCCCCATGCCCTCTCCCTGCCTTGTCTCAGATGTCCAGCTAAGTGGAACCTGTGATGGCAGCTGTCTGGTAGGGTCAAGAAAAGTTATGACCCATGGATTATTGAGTTTAGGCTGTCGGCAGGATTTCTACTCATCTTTCGAAGTTCTTATTTCACACAACCTGATCATCCGGACCTGGCAGGGTCCTGTATATACAGCAGCATGAGCTCTGGAATTAGGCAGCCCAGATGCAAACCTCTGAGGCGCGGGTTCCCAATGGCTCCCCTCCTGCCCGGTACTGGGGACTGAACCCGGGATCTTCCCACTAAATTACATCCGCAGCCCATTTTTTATTCTGAGACAGTGTGTGGCTAAATCACTAAGCTGCCCCAGTTGGGCTAGAATTCGCGATCCTCCAGCCTCGTCCTCCTGGGGTGATAGGATTACAGGCGTGCGCCCTAGTTCGGGTTGTGCCCCGGACAATCCTACCGACTGTCCTTCACCAGCACCGTTCCCTGCTCGGAGGCTCTCAGGCTCACCGGGGCTCCGTAGGGCTGGCGATAACCCAGGGTCCAACAGCCCGCCCTTCGGTCCTTCCGCCAGAGGCGAGGTCAGAAGCCGCCGCGGACGCTCACGACCTCCGTCCGGTTCCGCGCCCCATAGCGCGTGCGCGACCCCGCCCATTTCCCCCATAGTCCCCACCCATTCCCCCCATGGTCCCCGCCCACCATCCGAGCCCCTGCCGGGGGCGGGATTTCCGGGTGCCTTCTGCTTATAACATGTCTTTCCGGTGCCGCGCTGCGCGAGCTCCAAGGGCTGGGGATTTAGCTCAGGGGTTTGGCCGCCTGCTGTGCAGGCGCAAGGTCCAGGGTTTGATTCCCGGTACCAAAAAAAAAAAAAAAAAAGAGAGAGAGCGAGGTCTCGGCCTGCCCCTGGGGCCAAGGAGTGTCGCTTCTGGACAGCCCCGGGGCTTTCGGCTTCTTCCTGGGTTCTCCAACGCGTTCCGCAGAGTCGGAGTCGCCGGCGCAGGGCCTGCGGATGGCGGGGGCGCCCGGACTGACTCCATTCCGTTCGCCCCCACGCACCCGAGACAGGGATGCGATGTTAGCGCGCTGCTGTGTCCTGCTTCGGGGCGTCCACCGGGTGCAAAGCGACACCGCGTCCCTGCCGCCTTTACAGAGTTGCGTCGCCCTCTTCAACCCCCGGACTTCAGTCTCCTGGGCACCAACGACGCCAGTTTCCCCTGCACCTGGGGGCGCGCATGCTCTTCCTACCCCAGAATACCCGTCCCTCCCGTGGGCGAAGGTCGGGATTCTGAGCCCTAGGGCCGGGCCAGTGCACCCCACTCCTGGCGGGCTGGAGACCCTCTTCCCTAACGCACTGTGTCTTCCCCTGTGCCTTGGGGGTGATGGTGTTTGCTGCCCCCTTCCCCCGGTGAATTAAGGGTTTTGTTCTGTAAGAGAGGAGACCTGCAGCAGAGCTGCAGCCTGCCTTCAACTTCCCTCCCACCGGTCTTGGATATTTGTCTTCTAGTGGCGTCCTCTGTACCCATTTCCCGGCCCGGGAGGGGTGGGCACTGTCATTGCCAAGAGATGCTGCGACTCTGTTCCTTATAAACCAGAATTTACCCTTGATTTGACAAGTCACGTGTAATGCAACTTTGCCCAGTTGCATTAGATTGCAGTCTGGGACTTACTCTTTTGGGGAACTGGGAAGTAAGAGGGGAGACATTTTAGTAATATCGGGAACTAGACCACTCTTAGACCTGGGCAGAAATTAGCAAGCGGTGCAGACATGACTTCAGCTGTGCTTACAGGAGTGACATTCTTTACTTTGTTCACATTTATATACTAAATTTAAAGATTTTTTGTTTTGTTTTCTGGATCTGTCCCGAGATGGAACATTTTGGCGAAGCATTTCAAATGTGATCTAGAACCACTCTGATACAAGACAGTAGTGGCAGGAAGGCTAAAACGGTTAGACTTTAGCTAAATTATGCATCCGCTATGAGAGTCACACAGTACTGATGGAGGAAGTAATGGTCTTTGGCAGAGCAAAACGTTACATTTAAAAATTGAACTGTCAGGGCCGGGAATTTAGTTCAGTGGTTTTGCCGCCTGCTGCACAAGTGCAAGGACCTGAGTTCGATCCTCGGTACAAAAAAAAAAAAAATTGAGCTGTCCACAGTTCCTACAAAAGCCTTATCAAAACTTTAATTCCAAAAGGATTGAAAATATTTCCTAAAATTTTAGACAAAAAAAAAAAAAAGATTTGCCTAAAGAAACTACATGTGACATAAGCACTAAAATGCCATTGAGTTACAATCATTTGTTACGGTTTGGATCTGGACTGTTTGAAAAAGGCGTGACGTGTTAAAGCCTTGGTGCCTAGTGCCACAGCGTTCAGAGCTGGGGCTTGGGGGAGGAGATTGGAGCAGAAGGGCTCTGGTTTAATCAATGGATTAATCCACTGATAAATTCTTTTTTTTTTTTTTTTGGTACTGGGGATCCAAGCAGAAGCAGAAATGACTGCGCTAAATCCCCAGCCCCCACTGATAAGTTCTTAATTGGATAGGCTATCAGAAGGTGATGGAGATTAGGAGGTGAGACCTCACTGAAAGGAGGGGGTTCTTGAGGCATGGCCAGGAAAATGACGGTGTACCTTGTCCCCGGCTCCATTCTTCCCCTGCCTTTCTCCTGTCTGCCACAAAGTGAGCCACTCTGTCTCACCTTGGTCCAGAAGCAGCAGAGCCTCATGACCATGGACTAAGACCTCTGAAACTGTCTCAGTCCACACTCAAGCCAGAAGAAACATTTTCCTCTTTAGGATTTTTTTCTCAGCTGTCCTGTCACAGTGATGGAAAGCTGCCAAACATGGTAGTGATGTTAGAACCAAGAACAAACATTTGCTTGTATCTGAAGATTTGTGTGTAAGTAATTCTGGAACTAATTTCATGAGACTATTTTCTGGCTGTTCGAGGCTCTGTTGAAAGACTTGAACAAAATGAGGAGAAACCTACTGAAATTTTCAGGTTTTAAAAAATATCTCAGTATTGAAAAATGTAAAGAAAAAGGTAAACACTATTGTAGTAAGAAACTGCTAATCCCAAAATACCATAATGATAACATAATGTAAGAGAAATGTAATATTTTCAGCACTCCTGCTAATCTTGCATATACACCTTCCTACCAACGTTTAAATGTGATATTGATGTTCATGGTTCAATTCTGAGTCTAAAGCTTTAAGAGTCTTATTGCTGATTGCTAAATTTGGGAAGAATGCCAAGATGCTGCGGTGCACCACCCAGACAGCACATGTGTCTCAGCCTCACCAGCCAATGGTCTTCATTCCTTCCAAGGCCAGTGTCACCCAGAGCCAGAGTTAACCCTATAGTCTGGGGCCGGGGATTTAGCTCAGTGGTTTCACCACCTGCTGCGCAAGCACAAGGACCAGAGTTCGATCCTAGGTACCAAAAAAAAAAAAAAAAACAAACCTATAGTCTGCAGTTCAGTGAACGAAGCAATTTGATTAGGATGCAGCCAGCTTCTATCAGTAAAGAGCTATCATTTGGGCCCACATTTTTACCTTTTCTCAATCTGTTCAGCTATCAGGTGGCTAAGAGAGGTCCAAGGAACGTGAGCTCCAGCAAAGACAGTGGGCCAGCAGGGACCAGGGCACCCCGTGACCTCCCCGCCAGGGAAGTGAGAGCATCCAGAGCTGTTCCTTGACACTTGCTGTATTGGCCTTGGGTGAGTGGCTCATCTTCCTTGTCTTCTCTGGAGGGAAGGATGGAAAGCCGTGTGCACAGAACTGCGGGAGCATGGGTGCTACGGCCATCCCAATGCTGCTCGGGAGACAGGGCACCAATGTGAGGACAGAACAGCCACCCACCTGACTCAGTTGCCATCCTTTTCTTTTCCTTGACTTTAAGGGCAGCTACCATGTGTCTCTTTCCTGCAGATGCTGAAATCACTGCAAGTCTCACAGAAGAAATTTCACATTTAATTCTGATAAAATGTAAAGTGGCATCTACCTAAATGGGTATGCTTCTGAGTGGAAATATGACAGCTGTTAGCCCTTGTTGCTCTCAAACAATGAACCACATTTTCCTTATTTCTAAATAATTCACCATCCCATGACCAACCCATCCTGTAAATAACCAAATGCCCAAATCCTGGATGCATACATTGCTATATTCAATATGTACAACATGCACTGTATTTCAGTGAGAACCCATCCATGCTTCTGTTGATAAAAGCTAGATCTCTTACTCAGAAATGTTACAAAAGTTTACTTGAACTGCAGGAGCCTAAATGAGTAGGTGGGAAGCTTCAGGCTTCTGACCCTTGCATTCCCAAGCTCAAGAGCAAGTTCTAGAGCTCTTCACAGGGTCCCCTGGCACTATCCCACCAGGAATCGGGGGAGGGGAGGCTCCCTTGCCCTGAGCTGCAAAGGGGAGGGACACCCAAGGAGGTTGAAGGTTTGGGGCTCTGCCGAAAGCAGCAGGCCATCAGCTTGTAGCCAGTGACTGCTCTGCCTGGGAAGGTCCAAGGTGGGGACTGATTAGCTCCTTCCCTCAGTACCAATGGTTTCTAATCCCTCCAAACCACCGCAGGCTGCTAAGAAATGAGCACTGTCACAGATTCCCATCTAAAAGGAAGTCAGTCCAGGATCCCCACACTGTGATCCTCCTCTCTCCCTGGACTCCCCAGTCTATGCCTACTTCCTGCTCCCAGGAGCAGGCCCAGAGTGGGGGTGCTTCTGACATGGGGGTGCACAGCATAGAAAGTATGACTGAGCTACAAACGATTCCTAAATCCCCTCAATCCCATAAATGGTTCTTCAGGGAGACTCTCGGTTGTGGTACTTGAAATCATCACTGATCAAACAACGAGGTAAACCATTTTCTTCTCACTAATGTTTTGGGTCTTCAGCCCCAGATGCCAGCAGCTGTTCTTCTCTGGCTGCCCGTACAGCATGTCAGTGAAGAACTCAGGCTCATCTCTAGCCCTAGGGTCAGGGGCCAGAAAGCTAAAGACACTTCTTGGCTTGTGATACAGGTAGGACATGACTTCCACCTCCTCCGATGGTTCTTCGTATACAGGCTGCCTCATGTCCTTGTAGGCCGACAAGATCATGGCCTGAAACAGGTTGATCAAGAGGAAGACCATCACCAGCAGGAAAGAGGAGAGGAACAGGACCCCAAGAACCTTGTTATTGGAAAATTCGGTGTTCTGAAAAGCTGAGACACAATAGGAGAATATCCTCTGAGTGGCATGAATCAAGTTACTGTACTTCCACTCATGTTGACCAAATACCAGGTAACCAAAGGCCATGTACGCAAAGAAGTGCACAGACACCACAATGGTCATGTGACAGATGCCAGGAAGGGCAGCCTGGACGACCCTCCAGGCCAGGCGCACATCATAGAAGAATCCGGAATACCTGAGGGTCTTCAAGATGGTCAGAAATAATAGGAAAGCCAGAATTATCCTCATGGTGTGATCTACTTGTGAAACTGCATGGAAAGGAATGAAGTCATGAGGGTTAGACAAGTAAAATTGGATCATGCCAGCAGCCAAGAAATACTTCCTAAAATAAAGCATGACCAACACAGTAAATAGACATTCCAAAGTGAAGTTGAGCAAGTTGCACATGCTTTTCACATAGGAAGCTCACTCTTATGTGATGATGTAGCCCTCATTGACAATGTAGGCTAAAAAGAAAATGAGAATGGCCACATACAGGTAGATTTCTGCCAATGATTCACTGTGGAGCTCAGCAAGTGAGAAGGAGTGGGTGGAGATGCTGGCATTGACAACTCCTAGCTGAGAAACCTCAAATACAACAGAAATGCTGCAGAACAGACTGGCGTCTGGATTGAAAGTGGTTAGTTCCAGAATCATAGCCCATGTCTTCTCATCAAGCCAATTGCTTTCTTGAAGTTCTCCAAGCCTCAGTGTGGAATTAAGCTGCTGCTGTTCTGGGAAAAAATAGAATATATACCCTCCGGACCCATAAGTATTTAACAGTCCATAGGAATAATACACCCACCTCTTTCCCTGAGGTTTATAAGTGAACCCATCAGTATTCCTGCTCATAGCCTGCTTATGAACTTCACTCCAAAACTTAGAGTAGTTTCTTGTGTCCTCTACGTCAGTGCCATACTTGGGATGACAGTGAATTTCTCCTGCCACTCTGTTCTGCACAAAGCTTTTAGCAGGTGGACACGTTTTTCCACTAGGTTTTGTCCTCACTTGTCTCCTGAGTGAAAGCCTCAAGATCTTGGAGGAGCTGTCAGGAAGAAAGGTCGGGTTCAGTCATTGTGGAACAAAGGCAAGAGCACGCGGTTGAGCCATTTGTAGATGTCCTCCAGCTTTGTCACGGCAGCAAGGTCCACAGAGAAGCAGTCTCGGATGAACTGGTTGTAGTAGAAGCTATCGGTGTGGTGCAGCAGGACAATGAGGAACAACAGCAGGGCCAGGAAGATGCAATGAGTCACGATGTAGCTCAGGAGTAAGACAGCTCTTCTCCTGACCCTCTTCCTCCTTCTGAATATCCTGACTTCATCTTCCATGAGGGGCTGGTACATCCTTGAGCCTCGCAGGTGAGTGACATGCTCCTGGAGCTTCTGCATTTCATCCGGACGCATCCTCATCCCCCGAAGCTTGATCTCAATAGACTGATACTTAGTTGACCATGCCAAGTTTTTACAGTACTTGGGTTTACTTGTCCATCTGATGCCTGACCAGAGTATAATCTTAAATGGCTGCACCAGAAAAACTGACTGACACAATGAACAAAAAGATGCGAAGAGCCACTCTACTGATTTGTTGTAGCTGTAAGTCAGGCCATAGAATATGATAAAGAATGAGGATATGGTACACGTGCTGAGCACAAAGAACCATGCTACATAAGCACACCACCGAGACAGGGCGATCCAGGGCTGTATCTTAGGGTGTTTAGGGTCCTGTTGGGAAGAGGGTTCTCCAGAAGAGGCATCTGCAATGTCTTCCACCTTTCTGTTATTGACATTTGTATTAGTCTCTGTTGTCTCAGTGGTCACCTGGAGAGAAGCCTTTGGTTTTCCGGCCAAAACCTTCATAGTGGGCGTCGAGGCTTCCCTGCTATACCCTCTGGCAGCTTCATGTACACAGCACTTATACAAGCGCTCCTCCCAGCGCTCACTTCCTTCCAAAGTCAGAGGATGCTTTTGAGGAACTACCTCATCTAGATCTACTTGGGGTTTCTTCTGGGAGTGGGTGAAGAAAAAAGTTATTAACGATTACACCGGGATTGTGATTAAGACACTTTCAATTCCTATCATCATTAATCTGATGTAGTGCCCCTCTCTTGATGTAGCCTGCTTGTGCCTGTTCAGAGTAAAGAACATAGCATTGCAAAGAAGAGCACTTAGCAGTGTTGCTAAGCAACAGGACAATCTTCGGAGTCTACTGAATGGTTTAGCAACAAAACCAGCAAAAACCGAGAACCACACATGGTGTGTCCTGAGCTTATAGGTCAGATCTATCAGGAAGAAGTCCTTTCTTCTCACAGGCTCCTCTGGACATGTAACATAAAATGTTCTATCCAAAGTGGTGTCAACAGCCACTTTCGGCACATGAACAGCCAAATGTGCCCGCTAAATAGATTCTCCACCTTGATTCGACTCAAATACCAACTAGGTGCTTCACCCTCATTGTTGTGCCACACTCGAATGGAATGGATGTCCCCTAAGTCACTTTTTGTTGTCAGAAGAGTGCTGATGCTTCCTCGCAAGAGAGTTCTAAAGAGTGAGTGGCTTAAGCAATGCACATCACTGGTGCTCTCCGTGCCCCTAAGCTGGACAAAGACATTGGCCCTGGTTCCAGCCCCATAACGACTTCCTGTAAAGACAGTGACCAGGTAGCACGTGCTATCATAAGGATCATTATCAGGCAGGACCACTACACAGTCCCAAAGACACTGGTCCATCTCATTCCTGTACAAGGCCCAGAAAGCTAGAACTGTGTAGATGAGCAGGATGAAAAGGACAGTGAGGAGAGTCACAGGGTTGTACTGATAGTCCTGGGGGACCTTCAACTGTGGATCCACAGAATTAGGGACTGTGATCACCTTGGCCATCATGTAGTGTGTACGCAGAGGAACATGGGTTGGAATCCTCAGCTGCCGCCGGGTCCTCGCCACATCCCTGCGGGTACAGTGCACTTTGTCCCAAGTGGTCTTCTCAGCCCGAGTGCAGGCATCTTCTCTCCACCCGCTCTGGATCCTGTACATGTCCAAGCAGTGGGCACCAAAGACAGAAGTTCTCACTAGCTTGTGGCTGGGCTCCAGGACAAAGCTCAGGGCCTGCAGAACCACGGATATGTTGCACTTGGGCGAGCGGCTATGCCGAGTCATGACCTGCAGCAGGGATTCGGGTAGGCATACCACTCGAGCCACCCTGACTACACAGGCTGGGTCAAACAGGCCACTCTGGATGACAACTGGAGGCTTGTCATGAGGCAGCAGGAAGGGGCCACCAGATGGGTGGGGGTGACATGATGGCCCACATACACCAGTGCCTTCCACAGCACGGTCACTTCCGTCATGATGTGGACCAGCACCTCCCTAACTCCTCTGCTGTCCACCTCAAAGCTAAACCCCCCTGCCATTATCTTCGAGTACCCCGTGACATCGTTGTCAGGTCCCATAGTGAGCTTAAAAGTCGCAGAGGTCAAGTTTTTTCCAGTGAGGTACACTTCCACTGTGTCAGGTATGATGTCTATCGTGCCCCCGTTATCTGTGGCCCCCATCATCCTGAAACTGTCCACCTCTGTTGAAATGCTTTCTGGGTAACTTAACCAAGGAAACGGGTCATCTGTGAACTCACAGAACATCCTAGAAACTGGAGCATTTGCAGGCAGACCAGGAACTCTGCTTGCGTTTAATGTTGCATGGAACCAGTTTTGGCCGTGTTTGTCTTTTCTGAAGGCCCGAGCAACATCCCACTCTGCAATGTTCTCCACATACATGTTAAACCCAGGAGCCCTCAGCATGGTGGCTTCACTCCCTGGCACTTTATGAGCCAATACTGTGTCTGATAGAGATTCCATTACATAGAAAGGATCTTCGAGGGCTGGGGATTTAGCTCAGTGGTTCCAGCACCTGCCTTGCAAGCGCAAGGTCCCGAGTTCAATCCCCGGTACCCAAAACAAAGAAAGGATCTTCGACCACTTCATGAGGAGTAGCCAGTTTAAGTATATTAGACAAACTCATTAATATTCCAGCGCTTACCATTTCTATCTGTTCAGAGCTAAAGTACTCATTTTCCTGTTGATATGTTTGCAGGGCGTGATTTGCTTGCTGTATCCCCACTGTGGCATGTTTCTGAGCAACTTGGGTGACTTCAGAGGCTTCTTGTGTTAGCTTGGTAACAGCTGTCATTGCCTGGCCAACTTTCTCCAAAGTTCTTAGAGGAAGCACGAAGGACTGGTTGATCAGGTATTCTCGGAGGTGGGCTTTGTCATCTCTGAGGGTTCGCTCAATTTTCATGCTATTCAACACAGAAGCTACCACATTCATTAAGCAACTTGCAAGTAACCAGTCCTGCCTGTGAAGCCAGGTAGACAACAATGAAGTTGGTCGCACGGTGAAATTGAGGAGGTGCTGCGACATGGTCTTTGCAGAGCTTCTGTCGGTAGGAGGCCACACGGTAACAGAGAAAGTCACCTGAGAAAAAGCTCCCAGAGAGTTGTAAACCCGAGCAGATATCTTCAAGGCCTAGTGATTCGCAGAGGAGCCAACAGGGAGAAAGGAAGGGGGTGTTATGGCCTGTGTACCCCAATACAGGATGGTCCCCAGAATGTTCTCTTTCACCAAACTGACATCACCATCACTGTTCAAATCAGAAACTGTTATTTTATATGTAAGAGGGATATGCTTATCCTTAAAATGACCACACTTCACAACAAATTTAGTAAACATTGCGATTCCTTTCGCTGGATTCACCTGGCATTCCCCGATTTGAGGGCTGTGGTTGATGATAAAGGAGTGTCTGAATTCCAAGGTCATGCCACTCCAACTTGCCAGATACACAGAAAACCAAAATTTAGCTTCCAAAAAACTCTGGAAGGCCAAAGCTTTCACAGACAGGTAAGCACCATTCCTCCCTGTTACAGTCTGCCTGGCCCAGTCAAAGGGCACCTCCTCACCCCATGGAGAAGCAATGGACCAGCTGTAGACATCCTGCCGGCCACAGCTTGTGCAATTTAGAAACAAGGAAAATCTGCGAGATGCAACTAAAATGCGATCACAGTTTTCACTACATGAAATGCAAGCCGTGGGTATTGGTCCTTGGAGCACATGTACCCTTTTATCAGAAAACGCTGCTCTGTGACCCTTCTGTATCACCATTCTGAAATAATACACATGGTCCCCTTCAAGGTTCTCTGGTAAAAGTGTCAGTACTGGGCCAAAGGCCCGAGGCCAGTGCAGATGCGCCTGATCTGGGTGACAGACTTCCTGGTCTGTCCCTGTTAATAAGTTGCCAATGTACTTTCCTGCATTCATGGTACAGTACCAGGAGAAATGGAGTCCCTCTACTAGGTCATCTGCATCTGGGTCAGAGGACATGGTCCCATTCAGAATCAGCTCGTCTGTGAAATTAACTGTTAGGCTGGCATCTCCAAGAAGGACCGCCCTCAGGGGGCTGCTAATGGGCCATCCAGAGACGGAATCTGAGTCTTTTACCAGCAGTGCATTGGGATCCCATGTGGGCGGTAGCCTCGGTGAAATGAAACACATTCAGGTCTGGAGTCTGAGAAGCCCCGGGGGTGTGTAGGGCGGACCATTGCACGGGGCGGTAGCTGCGAAGGGTGTGCCAGGTGGGCCCAGCCAGGCAGGACAGCCCAGCGCTGCTGCTGGACGCTGTCCTCAAGGGGGCCTTCTGCCTTCCTTTGCAGGGGCACTGGGACCAATGCCTCCCTCCTGATAATCTTCACCTGCTGGAGGTGACAGGAGCCCACAGCGGCTCTGCGGTCAGAGGTGGTGGCGGGTCCCCTGGGGGACATCTGCTCCAGGCGGGGCTCATTGTAGAGTGGGCCACGCCGGGCTGACGGGGCGGGGCCACGCAACTCGGAGCCTTGCCTGGTTCATTCCGGGGGACGTTGCCCTCGGGGGCCACGCAGGGGCGCTGGCCAGGATGAACAGGCCTGATGCACAGCCGGAGCCCCAGGGTGGCCCTGGGGACACCTGATGGCCAGGCTGATGCCCCGAGAAGGCTGGAGGGCGAATGGAAGCAGTCCAGGACCAGGCCCAGGCCCAAGAGGAGCAGTGTGGGCCCGGGTCGCATGGCGCCCGCCTGAGAGGTGGCGAAGCAGCGTGGGACCTCCCCACGGTGGGGCGCAGGGACAGGCGCGAGGTGTCAGTGGTCACGGGGTGGGGGAGGGGAGAGCGCTTAGAGGGCTCCCAGAAACAAGGGGGTCTGAAGAGCAGTTGGGACACTGGGGTTCCAGCAGTGGGGGCCGTGGGGTCCCCCACCTCTCTGTTCCCACCACTCTGCACCCCAGGATCAGGGATTGGTGAATAAGGTTAATTTTCCTCCCTTCACTCCTTCAGCAGGTAGAGCCCTGAGCAGAAGGCCACTCCTCTGGGAAAAGGATGGAAGTCCACAGCAACTATGAGCACCCGAGGGCTGGAAGGCCTGACTTTGGGTTTCTTACTTAGGTTGACTTTCTTCTACTTTTTAAATTTTCCACCACTCCTTAGGGGCCAGGGATTTAGCTCAGTGGTTCCAGTGCCTGCCTTGCAAGCACAAGGTCCCGAGTTTGATCCCTGGTACCCCCCCAAAAAATTTTTTTTCCACCACTCCACACTAAGGACATGTCATTGGCTAGCATGGGTCCTTGCTTCAGAGACAATGAACTCAGCTGGAAGGTCTGACTTTGGGTTTCTTACTTGGGTTGACTTTCTTCTACTTTTTAAATTTTCCACCACTCCACACCAAGGACATGTCATTGCTTCAGAGACAGTGAGCTTAAAACCAAGGCAATCAGCACACATTTACAGGAAAAATGCTTTAACTGGAAAATAAAAGGCAAGGAACTTTAGCTTGAGGAGCTCAAAGCCAAAGAAGCACAGCTCTGACAAATAGTGAGCCAGCCCCTAACGAAGGAAAATAAGAAAAGACAGGAAAGGGACTTCCTGAGGACCCGAGGACACACAGGGCTGGTGAAGAGGTGCTGACTTTGCTGGTTCAAAGAAACCAGAGCAGGTTTTATGGATTTGCTGTGATGGGCTAGAGTGTAGTTGATCATTCCCTCAGTCCCACCTTTGCATGTGGCTCTGGGAGAGGTCCTTATTGCCTGAGCCGGCAGTGTTTCTTGACTGTTTCTATTTGGGGAGCCTCAGTCTTGGGAGGCTGTGCTAGAATCCGGAGGGACCACAGGATTGGGGCCATGACCGGAGACTTGGAGTATAGCTGAAGGTCCCTATAAAACCCTATCTTGGTGCCCTCGGTCTTGAAGGGAGATGAGGTAGGTTGTGTGAATTCAGGGCTCATCAGCTTTGTTTTGGCAACCTTTAGACAGACAATCCCCAAATGATTAACATGGCTATGTCCAGAGCTGAGAAGGGATTTGAGCCAAGTTTTAAAGGAATAAAATGCACAAAATGAAGGGCAAGGTTTGTTCTGC